TGTAAAAGTTTGATGGCTCAACATTTGTAAACTGTGCTTTGATGATGATGTGCGGCGAAAGTAACTATCTGTGGTGTAAAAAAATCCTCTGAATATCACATCAATGGTAGGAAATCATGGGAAAATGAGGCAGTCAGTCCGAGTCTATGGCGAAAAATCATCGTGCCATTACAATGACGTGACATTTATTTGTTTCTTTGACTCGATCGATTTGAACAAATACTGAATGTTTATAATTATTTCCCCTTTTGAGTCGATCTTTAACTGAAATAAGTGTCCCATGCATATGTCATATATGTCAAACAATCATAAGAATGAAACATATTATTGATCACTGGGAAAAGGAATAAACCAGCTTCTTCATGAACGACATGATATCTAAGTCTTTCATCACAAGATATCCAACCACGATCGCGGTAAGGAAGAATATTGCGTACCAAAAGAAACCACGTTTGTGGTTTTCAGTCACTTCGTATACAGTTTCTTGAGGTTCAGAAAATCTGACGCGATTTCTCGAGCGGACACTTGTCTCTTCAGCTGCATCAGACGAATCGCTATTATCTGAAGAATCCGGATTTTGAACTCTTATATGGTGTTAAAGCTTGTGTTAGACACTTACGGCTCTTCAATCACCAGAGAAGCTGGAAAACGTACATCGTCATGAATATTAAGAAATAGGACATACGATCAATTAAAAATGCCAGCTTTTTGCGCAATATTCTCCTAGTGACGTCATCTTTGTAAACTTAAGACGTAGCAATAGTGCAACAAACCTTGAATAGGTGGTGGGTAATATCCCTTGCCTGACAACTCGGCTCTTAACTCATCATCAGTAAGAGACAGTATTCGTTCCATATCTTAAAGTTGGTAGATGCATTACACATGGAACAAACAACCTTGAGGCACCAGATGACCTAGCGAACTAAAACAATGTAGAATACAAATGATAGGGATATGAAATAAAGTATTTCAATACATCGAAATAATATATATATATATATATATATGAGGAATGGGATCGATAAAGCCGAGTATCACTTGACAAAGCTGCAAATCAGAATACTGATTTATATGGACTTGTCTTGAATTCACTGGAGTTGTCAGTGTGTCAAAAGAAGGCTGCATTCAGTTTTCATACAGCAGTTTGCCAAGTTTTTTAATGCTTCTTTAGTTTTAGTTTCGTTTTGGCAAACACCAGATGATGATTTGAGGATGTGTCAGCTCCATGTACCTGTTAAAGTTGCTGATCCTATTATTGGATAGGGGAATAGGCCTTTTTTGTTCCGAAGAAGCTCTGCTTTCGACACGAGGCGCCATAGTTTTTTCTACGATCACCTACGATCAATAATATCATGAAGATATGATAACATTCAGCCCATATTTCTGCAGCGATACTCGAAATTCGTCAATTGATTTGTATTCGATCGGTTAATGCAGTCGATTCAGTTCAGACGACTTGTAATGTTGGATAGACAAGCAATCCTCACTTAAACTTTCAAAAGAAAGAAGACGAAACCATTTGCTCTTTAGACCGGATGCATTTTTCCGTGTTCGTTCATTATCAAATGAGGGAATGTTTAGAGTCACACATTATCCTTCACGAAGACAAACACTGTTTAAGGAGAGCAAGGTCCTGCGAATTCAATCTCTTCACCTTATGATACAGGTAAAAGCTGCCCCAATTAAAATTACCGGCACAGAAAGTGGGTGTGCCTAAGTGTATTAATAAAGGGGTCAACATAAGAGATAATCAACCAGATTATAATAAATGAACAATATACAGTAATGAATACAGCAAGTAAGTTACGAGACAGCTTAATCCATGGGTGAGTATCTGTTTGTCGAATCTCCTCTTAAACCTATCCACTAATGGGTCTGAGGTCGCTTCGGTTGAGAGGGCATTCGAAATGGTGGCAACTTAGTGATAAAACGTGAAAACGTACCTGGGTGTTCTCTAGACTACACTGATTTCAGAATTGAGTCTTATATTTGAGGCATTTTTGTCTTGATGTTAACAGGTTTGGTAGTAGTAATCTTGCCCAATTACATAGGAGAAGCCTTATAGCCCTTCAGAAAGAAAGAAGAGCCATGTAAAGAAAGTGTGACTGAAACATTGAAAAAGCTAAGTAGACGGATACGTTTCAGTTCATCCTGCAGTTTTAAAGTGATATGAGGGATTTCGATATCTATAGTGCAAACTGACATGTTAGAGTCTACACTTTCCTATCACCTTCGGAGACTAACGAACATCCTAAAAGCGCTTACAAATATGATGAATACGCCAGTACGGGATGTGGTATGACCGCAAGTGTGCACTACGTGTTTGTGTAGAATGCATATATCAGAGATACTTACATTCTACAATGCACATACGCATAAATTCGTGCGGTCACATGTTTATGTCACATGCATATGTGAAGTACACAGGCCATGATATATAAATTCCATAGAATACAAATGTGTATAAATGGGAACATTCCAGGTCGCAGCCAACATATATCCATAAATCAAGCTTGTAGCTATTTCTCTATTATCACCTTTCAAGAGTAAAGCATCATATTAGTTAAAACAATTGCCTCTAAGCTGCTAAGCCTGGTGCTCGTACCCTGTTCTGTCTTCTTTGGTTTAGACAACATGACAGTAACGTTAGCCTCCAAGATTTGTTTGATTAAAAACCAAGTTTTAAAAAATATGAAGCTAGGTTCTACTGAAGCTCGGCTCTTCAACTTCGTAGAGGATCTGGGATTACTCGAAAATGTGAAGTCGACAACTCGTTGGAGACACAGTCAGACGCCGTCGCGATTAGACCGATTTATGACAAATGAAGCATTCCTAGTTGACAACCTCTCAATCCTGGCGGATCTGTGGTGGGGCAATCACTTCGCCATAGCCTTCAGTCTCATCAGTAAAACTGAGCTAAGACGTCCCACCAAAAACAGGCACTGGAATCGCAAACTGTTGAATGCGTTAGCTTTACAGTACAATCTACAACGTGTGGGTTGGGAAATTAACCGTCTACCTTATGTGGATGCTCATTGGGACTTCTTATTGCACACGCTCCTATGTGCCAAAAGGCAGTATGTACCTCAAATGGTCCCCAAAGTCTACAAGCAACGAACAGTTACCAAGAACTGCACTCATCATTTGCTAAGCCACAAAAGGCACTGTTGGGCAGAATACTCACGAACTGATAAAAACAACGGAGCGTACAGGCAATACAAACATATAAGGAACATATGAACGAAGGCTATAAGTGAAGACAGGCTTTAGTACCAGATAAAGCTTATGGATAAATTTGTCTCGAATCCGAAAAGCTTATTTCGTTATGCAGCCTCTCTTCGTCAAGCCAAATCTGGGGTTTCTCAAATGCCAGGTCCTAGTGGAACGACCAATAACGACGGTGACACCACTAACCTTCTGGTCGAACAGTACTCTCGGACATTCCAACCGACCCACACAAACTGTATTGATGAAAGCTTCATCTGCAACTGCACAGGACATCCCGAAGTCAACCTGAGCGCTGATTTGATGTATCGGAAACTGTAGCACTTAAAAAATACATTTCTCCTGGTCAATATATGTCTCATTCTGCTATACTGAGTGAAGTAGCTTCAATCCTGGCAACACCGCTTAGCGTGGTGTTCTCACACTCGATAAGCCGAGGCACATTACCGGATATTTGGAAGTTGGCTCACATCACACCAATTTTCAAAGGAAATCGATGCAGAGAACATTCAAAAATTATGAAGTCCCTGATAGGCGACAGTATACACGACAATTTATTGTCCTTAAATTTCTTCTCACCCCAAAAGCATGATTCAGGAACGGTTACTCTTGCATAACCAACCTGCTGACTGCGGTGGACGGATGGACAAGCATTCTTGATAGCAGGGGGAAGGTGGAATTCATTTACCCTGATTTCTCAAAAGCTTTTGTTAGAGTCAACCATATATGTCTTATCAATAAGCTCAAACAATTGGGTACCAGGCCACGTCTAATTGATTGTCCCACTTCATATCTGAAAAATTGACACTTTAAGGCTAGGGTTAATTTCACTTTATCTCAGGCTATGGAATGTCCTAGCGGGGTCCCCCAGGGGTCAGTACTAGGACCTCTTCTTTTCTTGATTTATTTAAATGATCTCTCGCGACAGGTATCATCAGACTTATTACTTTTTGCTGACGATGTGAAACTTTGGAGAGAGATACGCAAGCGAGAGGATATACAGACACTTCAGGAGGATCTGACTCGACTTCAAAGTTGGACAGATGACAATGGACTTACCTCTAACACTTCAAAGTGTAAAGTAGTCCATCCGAGACATGTTACAGAATACAGTCACAACTTGGGAAACTCCTCTCTAGAAGTGTCCCGAGTTAAAAAAGATATAGGAGTCTTGGTGCCCTACGATTCGAAGTTTTATGCTAACTGTGACAAAAATGCCTTTCGAGCAAACCTTGCACTGGCAACATCTGAGCGCATTTCTGGCCACTTTGACAGAAGAACATTCCACATAATCTTCACCAGTTTCATTCGTCCCCATTCAGAGTACGGAAACATAGTATTTTCTCCCCCACTCCAAAAGGACAAGAACACTCCGGAACATATCCAATGGCGAGCCACGAAATCAGTTCGGGCACTCAAATTCAAGGCTTATGAAGAGCGCCTCCAATCACTTAGCTTTTACCCATTGGGGTACAGGCGTCTTATAGGTGGTCTTTTGATGGCCTACAATATCCCCAACACTTCTGGACGTTCCCTTAAATACCCTCTTAAGTTTAGCTCCAACATAAACCCAAGCGGTAACACACAGAAACTGGAGAAGCAACACAGCAGGACGGACTGTAGACAAAACTTCCACTCCTTAAGAGTTTTCAAAAGCTGGAATTCGTTGCCGGCTGAGCTAGTCCAAGTGACTTCTCAGAAGTCCTTTAAGGGGAAACTTGATCTATTCTTAAGGACCAAGGACAGCATCACACTATGATTTACCAATTTCTTTTACTCCATTACTGTTAACATACCTAGGTTCCTGTCTGGAGGATTTGGTGATCCCCTGCTACTAGACACGGAAGCCTGTTAAGCGAAAGCTTCTTCTATTCTGTCCACAACCATTTGAACCATTTGAACATTTTATTATGTTACCAATTTCTTTTTTTCTAATCTATTATAGTTAATATACCTAGGTTCCTGCCTGGAGGTATTGGTGATTCCCTGCTTGTACACACGGAAGCCTGTTAAGAGAAAGCTTTTTCAATTCCTTCCACAGCCATTTGAACCACTTGAAACAAGAGCTAATAATGTATGGTTCCCATTGAAATTAAACGCTACTTGATAGACTTAGAATATTAACTGGCTGTGTAGGTGTTTGTTTCATGTCAACATTGATGTACTTAGTTCCTAGACAGTCTCGTATGTAATAGCTGAAATAGCCAGGTTGAGGTCTATTTTCTGTTTTGATCAGTGTTTCGTTTTATCCTGTTCCTCAGTGTTATTAGAATTTTACTGATATATCTGAATCTAAACATTTGCATTAATTTACAAGGAGAGGTTTTATTTTTTCACTTGATTGGCTACCTGATCCTTTTTTTGCTATAAGCCAGTTTTTCAAAAATCCTTTCATGTAACCCCAACCGTTTCTAAGTTATGTCGCCTAACTACTGGGGACGATTATCACGTAGACCCCGACTAGAAAGTTTTATCTCCGTATGGCTCAAACCAACAATAAATCAATTCGTTTGTTATTCGCCTCTGGCTTACCTTTAACGTACTATATCAGCCAGAACAGAACATTTGGGAAGACGGTAACTAAGGTTTCGGAACACCAATTTGAACCCCCTTAATCAATATAGATTTATGAAACCGTCATTCAACTTGCCATTTCTTCCTAGAACCTTACGTTTAACATCAACATCACATAATTAGGAATTTAATCAGTAGTGCTTGGAAATATGATGAGATACCTGCGAGTCCTTTTTCTTTCTAGTGGTGGACAGTTGCACAAAACCATTCCATGGGATACTATATCCTCTTTAAGTCGAGGTCATTTGCATGTTAATGAGCATGCACGTGTTCTAAAATTCGACTGTAAATATTCGATCGGTACTGCTATGATCAGAGGTGATACCTGTCTGCTTTATTTCAGGTTATTTATTCCTGAGCTCCGGTGGTTTGGGCGGACATTAAAGCTAAGATCCTAAAAACCGGTTCAGTGGAACGAACTTCTTTAGCGTTATTTATTTTCTTACAGAATGGGACAATCGAAACTAGTTGGGTAAAATCTCATCCAGCTCCAGTAGTTTTATTAACAACCATGTTTAACTGACCATAACTTCTAGAAATCTCTACGGTTAACTTGTCGGGGTCCTTAGTTCTAGGCTGTCTCAAGTTGATTATAGCTGTTGGGTGCTGCTCATGAAACATGTACAGACCATCGGAGCCAGTGTTTCGAAATAATGACACCAATTAAGCAACCAGAATTTACGGAAATATGTTCCCAAAATTGGTTTTTTAACCCAGCAACACTTCTTTGAGAAGTAATAGTGTTAAGCGAATTCATTACCTAAGAACTGAGCAGTATTCAAACTCTATGATTCTTGTCGTAATTTGTTATATATTAAGCCACTCTTTTGGATGTTCATGTAGGCTGCTTCAAGATTTATATAAGAATCAAATGTTTATCCTGTGTTGATTGATGTGGAACTTGAAACGGTCACGACAAGTTATGTAGTATCGTTGTTTTTATGTTTTCAGAAACTGAATAGCTATAATTATTCAACACGAACCTGTTCATACAACTGTTATTCATATGACCTATGCTAACTAGTCATCAACCGTTAAGTGACCTGGTACGATTACAAGCAGATAAATCTTGAAAATAAATACTGCATTCCTAACATTTCTTTATCATCACGAATTATTAAACAGTAACTTCATCTAGGAAAGAGTTGTAACCCTGCAAAAGGTTACTGCATAGCTCTTGTTCTAATTCTCATATTATTGTTATCGTGTCATTGTTCGACTAGTAGTGTTATTATTGTATTATTATTTCTTTCTTGCAGTTATGGTAAATCTTTGGTGAAAGGGAAACAATATCACGACTGATGATTTGATTCTCACAACCACCTTTTTTATCGTTTGTATTTATGCAATATTACAATAAACACTATCACTACGTCTGCTGTTTTCAACTTGTGCTCACAATAGCAGTTATCATTTAAACTTTATAATTTATAATTCAACTCATCATTTTTGTGAATTCCACCAATTTGTAAAATGGACTGTCCAATTGAAGATATCGATAAGAAAGATGTAAGTTTTTCAATTCCATATCATTAATAAAAATAATAGCCAGTTGTAGAACAAAATACTGACGTAAATTTCGTTTATAATGATACTGATGAATACAGTGTAGAAATTGCTGGTATATTATTTTTTTAAAATTGTCTATTACTAAATTCTTTTCTTGTAGAATTATATAGTTATTCTGAAGAGCCTGAATTTCATTTAAATCGTGAATGTTTTGAAAAAGATTTTCATAAATTTGGTAGGTGTTACTCTCCTTTTTGTTTTTATTTGCTTGTATAAAATATTCCCTCAGTGTGCAATTGTATCAGGAACCAAATAATTTCATTTTCTTTCAACTGTCCTTCACGATTGTCAGCTACTTTAAGTTCACGTTCACTAATTTTCACTGTCTTTTAAATACTCTTCTGCAGTTTTCAGTCACTTCATGATGTGATGTCTTCTTCGGTGTTATTTTACTATAGCTAACTTCTTATGTTAACATGATATATTTTAACCATACTGTTCGGTACAAACATAAACTCAAGTGGTTTACATTACCCGGATCTGTACATTCAACTTCAGAACTATTTATTATGAGCCACAGTATGCACAACTACTGTTACATCATGTGTCTCCAGCGTTAATATTCCTTATCCAGTTTGGCTAGTTGAGACCTGACATCCGAACTCTGTATCTTAGGGTAAATTTTGTTTACCTCTGTATTAACCATATATAGCTTACTTGTCTGGTTATCGGTACCAGATTTCCTAAAGTGGTGATTTATTTCCATTTATTATGACACTTGTAAAGTTAAGCGCATCAGTTATTTTCATTAATTATAAATGTTCTGCTTAAATTTCAGTTTCTGTCAAATGGTTTGAGGCTAGCAATGCTGAACGTCATTCACATATTCAACGATTATTAGATCATTTAGAGTCTAGTGATTGTGAAATACGTCAGAGAGCTACACGATCACTGTTGTACTTGTTACAAGGGAATTTTGGTGATTGTGAATTAGAGGAAGATCAAATAACATGGGCTAGACATAATGTTTATTTATGCATTGAATCAGGTTTATTACAAGCTATTATAGAACTTTTATTGTTCGAAACTCACTATGAGTAAGTTGAATAAATAACTGCTATTGTCCTATAATTGTATATTCGATTTTAAGGCTTTATTTCAATTTTGTGCAAACCTCATTCTGTCTTTTTACAGTGCTATTATTATTATTACTATTATTATTATTATTATTATTATTATTATTATTATTATTATTATTATTATTAACATGATTACTGTAGATAGATACAAATTTATAGTCTGCTCGTTATAATTTTGATTTTATAAATTGTGTTTATTACTGAAGTGATAGTACGGTGGTTGAATCGTTTAACTTGAGATATTAAATCATAGGCTAGAACACTTCTCCATCTATTTCCATCTTAGAAACCGGGTAGTTTCACGGATGCTTACGCGTAAAATATGCCCCAAATACAACCTTCACTCTCATACACTATCATTTATTTATTTATTTATTTCAACATATGAATATTGGTACAAAGGGGCACCGATTACATATGCGCCAAACAAGTCACTTGATTTGTGTTTGGGCTGCAATACTACCCGGGTGCCCAGACCAAAACAGGTGGTTTTATTAGGGGGCCACATTCGGAGCCTTCGACCTAATGGTCTGACCCACAAGGCAGTGGAGCAACGTAAAGAGATGCAGTCCTGTGGTGGCCGGTGACCAACAATGGGCTCGTACGCCATTCGTTCCTTCAGGATACTGGAGCCCATGTGTACCATTGGTTCGGGATGAGGATTTTCCAACTCCCCTAGGTGGACTCTCAATGTCCACCGAAGTAGTAGAATTAAGATGAATATACTGTGTAATTTGTAAAATAATACTTTTCTAACGACAGTTCACGTATTTATTAGACAGACTATATCTATGAGTATGATTAAGCTGTAAATATTAAACCATTGATTAAAAATGGGTTGGTTTATATCAACAAAATAGAGAAAGTGAAGTATGTTTTGATGGAGTTTCAATCTCTGCACTAGATCGTTTACTTCTAGCTCTACTTATAAATTTGTTTTGATAATATTGTTCAGAAGGATGATTAAAGCTAAAAGGTTAAACAGTCTGGTTAAAAAACTATACTTCACCAAAATCATTCACATGAGTTATAAATTTTTTCACCATCTCAGTAAAAGTATATTTGTCACTTAAAGTCCAAAATGGCAGGAATAATTCAAATGTAACCATGGTGTTTGTATTAAATTTTCACAAGTAATATTTAGTTAGTGAATATTCCGAATTTTTATTCAACTCTTCTGTTCTTTTACAGTTCATGGGGTGTAAATTCAGTTGGAAATGATCCAGCAACTAACACTACTTGTAATGGATCAACTAAACTCAGTCAATCTACAGCAGCAACAACTATAATTGATACAAATCAAAATTCAACAGTTACATCAACTCGACAATCAAATGTTACAATGAAAGATAGTGCAAATCTCCGTGTTTTATTGTCTATTCTATATATTATGGTTGAAACTGTTCGTGATGGAATGTTAACAGATCATGCACAACAAACTGTTTCAGCAGATGATAAACATATGTCAATAACAACAAATCAAGCCAGTAACGATCCAATGGCGAAACTGAGAGAACAGTTTGTGGAAGATTTAGGTATATATGTATAAACGTATATATCTGTATATTAGGTTATTAATCATATGAAGAGTGATTAATTACTTCATTTTCCCCTCATAGTTGCTTATACTGCTGTTTTACTGTTAGTCGAGATCGATTTATGAACGAACAGCATTACGTATGAAATTAAGCCCCCAAATGCCCTGGTACGGCCGAGAGTGGGGAGAGTTAACTCTTCCTCTCGAAATGCTCTCACATGGCCACGTGCATACAACAACTACCAGAGAAGTCCTACTCACTGTCTTCTCGCAGCTGGGGTGTTGTTTATAAAATTCAGAGGACGAAATGTGGATGTCCGGCGCTTTAACCGGGTTGATAGACACGGAGAGTTCACCCAGGGGAGTTGGAAAACTCTCATTCCAACCAATGGTGCACATGGGCTCCAGTACCCTGAAGGAACGAATGGCGTATGAACCAATTATTTGTCACCGGCTACCATGGGACTGCATCTCCTTAAGATGCTCCACTGCCTTGTGGGTCGGACCATTAGGTCGAAGGCTCCGAATGTGGCCCCCTAATAAAACCACCTGTTTTGGTCTGGGCACCCGGGTAGTATTACAGCCCACACACAAATCAAGTGACTTGTTTGGCGCATATGTGTTTGGTGCCTTCTTGTAACAATGTCTATATATTTAAATAAATAAATAAATAATAAATAAGAGTTGTAAACGTTGCGTGGTATCACTGAAAAGTAGTTATATCATGCAGAGGAATTCACTTTTCACTTTCCCCTCATATCCTAAGCGTCTACATTACGTATTGTGCTAATTCATTCATTCTTTTCCAGTCATTTTTTCTATACATAATCTCTTTCATTATTAACGATACTGTCATTAATTTAGCTTCTTTGATATTTATCTTGTTTGTCGTGTCTTACAGTGTTGACGTTGTGTTGTGACAAATAGAGCTGATGCATATTTACGCTTGGTGTTGCATTAATGATGTTCAAATTGTATGTCATGTAGATACGAAAGTTCTTCATCTATAAAGTGTAGCGCATATATATCTGGTGCCCCCTTGTAAAAATGTCTCTTTCGAGAATGAAATCGTTCATTCACTAAATAAACTCCATTTTACTGTTATAAATTCTCGAATAAGTTCTGGGTTCAAATGTCTGTGTTAATATAAACAGTACTGGAATAGAAGTATTTACATCCAGTTGATGAGACACGAATTTGACAAAATGTTTATTCTAGCTTCCACTGTCAGCCACAATTCAACTTTATTAAAAACTTGTGGCTAAATGGCACTATTGTGGCAGTAATCGGGTTATGGTCTACGCATACTAGCAACAGTAACTAATCAATTAGAAGTCTTTAATATCGACAATGGGGAAATGGAAAGTTTGACAAATAATTCCATTTTTCTTAAACATTTCTACGTATTTATACGAATATTCGTCAAGATTAGAACGAATAGTTTAACAGAAATTGATTCAAATATATAATTTTCACATTTAATAATTTCTACGTATTATTACGTTGTTTTATGAATCACGCCAATGTTTATCGCCCTCTTTTTCTTTCTGTCTCTTTCGCATTCAATTCATAATATATTTTGTAATAGCCATGCCTATTGAAAAAGACGGTGATCTCACATTGACTGCTGTACTATTTGGCATGATTCATCGTTTTTGCAGTGGTATTGATCCACATTTTCCAATGAAAAAAGTTCTCTTGTTACTTTGGAAAGTTTTACTAGTAAGTTAAAGCAATAATAATAATACTATTATCATTATTACTGACGGTAAACAAACACTGCGTAGTATATTTTGATAAATACACATCTTCAAACCATTTTATTATGACCTAAGTCGTCATAAGTCCACGATTAGTCCACCCATATTTCCAACAGGGCGGTGACTATCTGAGTGCTAATTGACACACTGATCAATAAATAACACCGTGGACCTAAACGCTCATCAGTCTTCGAACTCCTTTTAACCTAATAGATAGCCAATCAGAAGACAAAAATAGGAAGTACATTAGTTTTCTTTTGAACTCACTTCATTTATAATTCAAAACACATATACTAACATACCTGAAATGCCTGACCACACAGCAAACCAAGTTAGAAATCGTACTTTAAACACAGTCAAGTCACAAGTGGCAGAGAAACAAAGCACATAGTATATGATTAACTAACAGTATAACGATAGCTAATAGGTCCACTGATAGCTTACAATAGGAGAAATATAAGAATGCAACAATACAGTTATCTACTACTAATACAATACAAATGCAAGTAGTAGTAATGGTCCGAAAAATAATTCCAAAAGTTCCAACCTTTCCAATATTCACCCCGTTAAAATACATTTAACTTACGAGTATTCAAAAACTGTACATAATTGTTTTTCATTATCTGCTAGCTAACATTCATCTTGATCTATAGACGTTCTGCATTCTGTTTTTTTCTACATGTTTCATCATCATACATTATACACTGCGCATGAATAATACTAATTGTAATCACCTATTGTTTCGCGTGAAGCCAGTCAGCAACAACGTAGAATTACGTACGTACGTACGTACGTACATCAGTTCGAGTTGCCATACCACATTAGCACAGAGATACAATTGTCGATTCAAATCCCATAGTGGTAGAGGTAGTAAAAGTATAAACCTAAATCAGAAAGATCAAGGTTTGAAGATGTTATTCAAGGAGTATAATCCAGCGAAATAAATTTGGGAAGACAAAAAAAAGAGACAAGGAGGAATCAGGAGATTAGAATTTTGGAGAACACAAAGAGTGGATGCACCTGTGCCATTTCAAACGACTTTGAGCCATATCATTCAAGGTCTCTAACCATCGGTTGCCATCGTCTTGCGGATCCAATTGAGGTAGTCTACATCTACTAACACGGCTCAGTCCAGTTGTCCAGTGACTTCATGGATTTGTGCCATGTTTTGGTCTGGCTGCCCCTAGTTTTCTTCCAACCTACTCCTACACGATAAAACATCGCTTGTCGGGGCAGTCGGTGGTTGGGCATACGTAACTTATATCCTAGCCATCTCAGCCGATGAAGTTTCACCACTTTACCAATTGATTTGCCATCCTTACCTAGTTCCCGTTTCCTAACAACTGCATTACTTACTCGGTGGTCCCAGGATATACGAGCAATGCTTCGAAGACACCTATGATCAAATACTAGTAACCTACGAATATCCTCTACTTTTACCGGCCATTTTTCACTGCCATGAAGTAGGATGGAACGATCTGCTGCACAGTAAACACATCCTTTGGTTGATAGACGGATATCTTGCCTACGTCATAAATGACGCAAGTTGGCAAAAGCTAGTCGGGCCTTTTGTATCCGTGCTGGGATTTCGTCACACACCAGACCACAAGGGTTGGTGAGACTCCCAAGATAAGTGAAGCAGTCGACACGCTCAACTACTTCACTCCCTATTATTAGTTTGGGTGTCGAGGCAACCCAATCCTGAAGCAACATTTTACATTTCGAGAGGTAGAATTGCATACCGAACATGCTTGCATAGTTAATGTCTGACAGTGAGCGAATATACCAACCACCATAGCGCTGATGGTTCCAATTAAATTGTATGATAAGAGCACTTAAATGCCGCCAAAATACATAATTAGTCCGTGGAAATAGATTTAGAAGTGAGGAAATTGTATTTTAATGCTGACAAATTTGGGTAATAGTGGTAATAGAATTAGTCCGAAGTGAGAGAAATTTCAATAGGTCGCCGTCATTCAGTAAGTTTTCCTTAATAAGGTCCTGGGTTCGAATCCCGTATGTGGGACCGTGGATGCATACTGCTGAGGAGTCCTATACTAGGACAAAACGGCTGTCCAGTACTTCCAGGTTTTCAACAGTAATCTAACACTGATCGATTCGTGATCTCAATACATATATTAGTTAATGGATATAGCGGGAATCTGTGCACACTTACGTGGTCGGCTAAATTCTTATAATTATTTTTGAACTCACAATTTAGATTTAAAAGTCTTGTGTGTTCTTTTTAAAAGTATAAGACAATTTAAATATTTATACTCAACTTTCTACATGTAGATAACACTGGGTCCTTTGAGCAGCTTATTGGTACGTAAAAATCAAGCACGTGCTCGTTATGGTTTACCACCAGTTTCGGAGGATTCTACACATGTAATTCAAAAAGTTCGTGCAAGTAGCCCACCTGTAATGTGTATTACAGATCAAGTACTTTCTAGAATGCAGCGTAATAACACTAATAATATTAATAATAACAATCGACATCCCATCATAAGTCAATGTGTGTATCTTTTCAACATTCAGTTTGCTATTTTGCATAGGTTTTTTTAAATACAATATTAGTATGAAGGGATTTGTAGAGATTGTAGTATTTTCACAGTTGGAATCATGGGCTGAACTTAGCAGGACCACCACTGTAAACCTGAGAGCACCTAATGGCCGTTTCGTCCTAGTATGGGACGCCTCAGCAGTGCTCATTCAATCATGTGCTTACTAGCGAATAACTTCGAGAGGTAGTTCTAGTCAGAAGCCTTGGTCTGTGAACTTTGGTCCGCATTGGGTTTGAGACAATTATCCACGACAGACAATGGATGGACTGGATCGATTGAAGTTAGACACTAACATCGTTGAGTGCCGGCTCAGTGCTCCAAAGGTTAAGCGTCCATGCACGAGGCCGACAGCCCTGAGTTCGAGTCCCACATGCGGGGCCGTAGATGTGCACTCTTGACGAGTCTCGTTTAATGAGGAAAGCGGCATTCAGGGCTTCCAGGTTTTCGATCGTGGTTCTGTTAAGATCATTTCGTGATTTCAATATATGTTTTTTATAATAATATGTTTAGTTACAGTGAATAATTTTCATTAAATAATTATTCAATAAGTTAAAAAATAATGAAGTAATAACATCTTTGTAATATTGTGAAGAGCCATCAAGAGTCCCTCGTTACAGTCTATAAAAAACCAGGAAAAGGCTGAAAGCCATTTTCACTCAATATATAATCGACTCCATGACGTATGAACTTAAGACAACCTGATGTTTTAAATAGCATCATTGCCGGAATACGATAAAGATCCTGTTATGAAAACTCTTAACTATACAGATTATATTATTCCTCCTAGTCGAAATTACTATAACTCTTTAAACTAATCATGATTTTAAAGAGAGCAAGAACAAAGATTGGTGCAGAATAATATGAATTCATTTTATTTCGTTAGGTTCTCATCAGCTGCTTACAACCTAAAATATTTGAAATTCAAAGTTATTAAAGATATTGACATACTTATACAACAGAGGGTGATGAAGGATGAATATATGTAACATGATATAGCAAAGATTTTGTTAGAGTTCATGAGGTCATAAAATTTTTTGTTTCGAATATATAGAGTTTGGGAGGGAAGGTTCCAGAACATTGAAATAGTGATCAGAAATCATGGAATTAAAAACACATTAGATTATTATGCAATGAAATAACTGAAAATAGATTAATGATGTAATTATAAAATTCAGAAAGAGTTGGAATGACATAATAAATAAAAGGGGGAGGGGTAATGTTACCATGGCAAAGAAAGATTTGTTACTGTTTCTTTTTGTATACAAAGATTTGGTGTGGATGAAGATATTACTTGGTATTCGCATCTGAGGACGAAGTTGTCCTGAGGTATTACGTGAGTAAAGTATTTACATAAGACGACCAGCATCTCAATCAACTCTGCTTTTCCACAATGGAACGAGGAGTAGGGAAAGTTGATACTAAAATTAACACACCTTACCTTACCACACGAATTTCCACTGCAGTCAATAAAAGCCTAAGATATATGACGTTAATATGTCCAAAACTACTCATATAAAAGCTATGTGTAATTGGCCTGAAGTAATTATCCCTTGTGGTCACTCTTCCAGGTTAGGAAGATCACTTATAACTTAGTTTTTCCTCATATCCCTCAAGAATGAATATGTCGTTGTGTGAGCCACCAGAAAGTTAAAACCGTCTCAGTACCTTTAACAACACTCAAACTGATTGAATTGGTTTAGGATAAATCAAAAATACCTTTCTTCATAAAATCTCTCCATTTCATAAAAAAAATGTCACTTGAATGCATAACATGCTTAACATACACACTTAGAATGTGATGTATGCTACTTATGTCGACAGGTACAAGTAGTATATGATACCAATCCGTAGTGGAAACCCTGTCAGCAGAAGGCTAAGAAGATCAAGTTGAAGAGAAAACAGAAACGGAGATGGGAAGGAATTGTGAACTGGAAGAATCATACAGAATGTGAAGGACAAATGATGGAGTTTTATGAATGAAGTATTCAATGTATGGTTCTCATATTTTACCAAGATATTCTGTAATTTTGTACAAAAATATAACCTTGTCCAGATTTTGGCCAATTGGATATAGATTTGACCTAGTCTTTCACTTTTTTTCATAATAAAAAAACCCTTACAGATTTACTAGGTATATTACGTAATGTGGTTTAAGACAAGACAAAAGGCTCTCAATCAGCTACTTAAATACCACAAAGCCTGACGACTCTGGGTTCGACCCCGTGGAAGTTCATGAGTGCACACCCTTGACGAAAAGTCGTTCCAAAATATGTAGCTTCTTTTCCTTTCATCTCCGTGATTGGAAAGGCTCTTCCTATTTAGTTGGCAATTTAGTATCTTTAAATTGTGTAATTTTAAATAGGTACATGTCTTTGTTAATTTTCTTATCACTCTAGCAAATCAATCTCCTCGACAAGGTAGTTTAGCTGGAGGTCGTTTGGCGTTTGAACAACAGCAACAACAACAGTCTGTTGTCACTTCAGTGACTTTTCCATTCTCAGCTGATTCTTCTAAACTTCCTATCATTCAGAGTCAATCACAATCAACTGAGGCGTTTTCAACAACTTCAGGTTTTGATACACCTCGACCAAGTTCACCTGTGTCATCAGATGCTACTAATCGTGATGATGGTAAGATAATGATAATTTTCAAACGTTATGGCTTTTATGTTATATTCATCACAAATTAATCTTAGTTGATGTAACATTGAAAACCAGGAACAGGGGCACTAAACATTTGCTTCATCCTTTAAGGGAACTCCAATATAGTGTGTGCTCACTATCCCATCAGTGATTGAACCCATGATCTTGAGTCTTTCCAAAAATCACTCAGTCACTAAGACCACTTGGTCGTAATTCAGTGGTACAATTCCAAATTCAGTCATTTTGGGATAGAGTGACTATCATCCTATGCCAATTTCTATAAATTGTTATACTCCCGATATATTTGAACTGCACCACTAGTCGTGACTTCTCATTAAAATTCCTGAAGTTGCTCGTTGAAGTTATATACTAATGAGAGGTTGATTTAATTTGTAGATTATATTTGTTGCACATTGATTGCAGTTGAAATTTTCAATCAAATTTCAATTTTAGGAACAACTAATCGTGATACAAGTGAACTGTTAAGCTCATCTAATTTAAATCAACCAAATTTCAATCATCATCAAGTTATCCTACCAGGATTATCGAATTTATATATGGATGAGAAGAGTTTACCATGGAAACCGAAAGTAAAAAAGAAGGATTTAGAGGTGATTTTTTGTTTTTCTTTCACCTGAGACTGAAGTTATCAATTTATCTATTTATTTGAATACACACGTTGGTACAAGGGGGCACCAAATACATATGCGCCACACAATAACAATGACGCCACTAGTAGCTATCATTGATTCGTGTGAGGGCGACTGAAATAGGTGTGGAGCAAGGTTAAAATCTGAAAATCTTGTAATTTTTAATTTTGTTACCCTTATAATATAAAGGTGTTTCACATCTAAATATACGTTTCTATCTTTGTATAGTTATTGATTACAAATAAATATTATCAGTGAACTATTTACCTTAGCCTGAGAAGTGTTAACATAACTGATTCACAGGGTAAAGAGATTTGTACTTATTCTAGTTAGTCCTAGTCACTGTAGAGCCTGGAATAAATATGTGTTGACTTGTGTTGCCATATCAGACTTGCGCAACCAGATGAACAGGAAAGAATTCAAAATATTGTAACAGTAATGATAATCAAAATAGAATTTTAAAAATTAGTATGAAAAACTGTGCATTATGTTATACTAAAACTCGGGATCTAGATTAAGATAAAGAATGAATGTATCTGCTCCATTATGACTGATGCTGTACTATATTACCCGATGCCTCCAGCCATTGGTTACAATTATCGTATTGGTCTCAATCAGGTAGTCGGAAACTACCAACGCAGTCCAGATCACACGATCAATGCCTCCAAGTTTTGACTTAGTTGTCCCTAGTGTTCTTCCAACTTAGTCCTACACCAGCTAACAGAACCGGTGGAAGTGGATGGTGGTTTGGCATTTGGAATACATTTCACAATTACCTTAACTGATGGGGATTTACGAACCTTATCGACTGATTTGGCATCTTTTTTTCGTACACCATACCTAAACTCGTTATCGCTCATTTGATTGTTCCACGATACGCGAACAATTCTTTGAAAACAACTATGATTACTGTACTTATTTGTTCATACTAAACCGAATCGAGTAGGGTTTTGAACTTTCAGTTTTCTAGAGGAAGACCATGTTCCTTAACCACCTAGTTACCACTACTGTAAATCTGACATGTGAAATACAGAGAAAGCCATATTAGCTTAATGTAAAGAATCGAAAGTACTCCGTGGGTTGTACACTGTTTTACATAAATTTGAAATGAAATGAAATTGATATTTCTAAGAATTTATCGCTGAATTAATGTGTTTGAGAGTTTTCTTTTTTTTCCTTCAACAAACTTGCGTCTATTTAATTTAAACTAGTCTTTAGATTTTCACATTGTGAAGAAAATTTCATTTGTACATCTTGTAGTGAGTACCAACAACCCTACTGGAGGTTGAACTCAGAATATTTGTATCTTCTGACAAGACTTTGACTTTTGGACGTCCGAGTCCAATACATAGCTGGGTTTTAGGTGCTGTTATGTTCTATAGCTCGTCAATTATCACGTGACAAGATCGGCAATCAGAACACCAACTTATATGACTTTGGCACTATGTCAAACAATTAACGCGTTAATCAGCACGAGCAGCCTAGAGTCAACTCGGAGTCCTTATTAGTTCTTCTTGCCTTGTGCTGTCCGTTTGAGTTCAGAACACAATTTGAGCTTTCACTTTCTGAATCATGTATTTCAGACATATTTGGTACATGTACAAGCAGATCAGACTGTATCACATCATAACATAGAAAATTAAAATTATACAGGATCAAGACAAAAGTAGCTGTGAGTATGGGAGACTTTAACTAATGGATTGAGAAGAACTTAGGAATAGGCTTAGTGCTTTAGAGGTTGTGCATTTGTACACGAGACTGAATGTCCTGTGTTCGAATCCCCCTGCCAACAAGCCACTATTGCCCCCAAATGCCCTGGTACCGCCAAGAGTAGGGACAGTAAGCTCTCCCTCCCGAAGTGCTCTCACATGGCCACTGTCGGGGAAGTCCTACTCACTGCATTCTCGCCGTAAAGGTGCTGTTTACGAAATTGAGAGGACGAACAGCGAATGTCCGACGCTCGAAACTTGTTCCTGGATATAGAGGATCCATCCAACGACGTTGGAAAACCCTGGTTCCAAACCAATGGTACACATTGTTGTAACGTGAAATGCTGCTGATTGGAAGTTAGCGAATTATCGATCGGGGTAGGGAAAAATCTTTGAACCCTCAATCTTCAAGGTCAGTCTATAATTGGACGAAATTCAGCCTAATTATTTCGACCAATCAGTATTCAGACTGTCATCAGTGTCGTTGAACGACATTGGTCATTGTCCATACAGCTAATTTTCATTGCTGGTGCTGATTCAAAAAAAATGACTCCCCCATCCGATCAATTGCAGTTGCTACTTGACCGACAACAGCAGCGCTTCAAAAATAACCAGTTGAGTATTTTGGACAATTTACGCACACGGCTGCTAAATCTCCCATGTTTCGGAGATGTGACAGAAGTTGATGAATTAATTTCTCATTTGCATATCGAGCTGGAAAACGACTGCAGAACATATGAACGTGTATATAAAAGCCTCTATGAATCCTGGACGAGCAGTAATGTAAGCAAAGCAGTCATTCATGATGCGCCTAGCGATCCAGAAATGTCCATCTCAGAGACATGCCCTGTCATGGGTTCAAATCCCATCCCCGTCGCCAATTATTGTGACGTGAAACGCTGCCGATTAGAGGTTAGCGAATTATTGATCGGACCAAAGACGCGCAAACACGTAAGAACGGCCTAGAGTCATGATTGACCCTGCTTCCCTGTCTAGCCCAGCCAGTTGAGTCCAGAACGCAAGTCTCAGCCTCTGAGATATGAATCATTATATTTCAGGCATACTCTGTTTATATACCAATCAACCCGACCACAACGTACCAATAAAATAGAAAATAACATTTGTACAATAATTAGCCAGAAGTGGCTGTGAATGAGGGAGGTAGCGATTAACAGATAGGGAATAATTCATGAATGGTAAATCGTACAATAATAGTTCATAGGTCAACATAAAGCTCATAATAAGAGGGGCATGAATATGAACAGTTTAGTTACAAAACAATTATACGACAAAAATATACTCATAATGTTGGTTCATAAATGGGTCCCAAAGATTAGTATTCATTATTCCTGTCGGGATACAACACACATAAGCTCCAGAATCCTGAGTGAGAAAATGGCATATGAACGTATTGTTAGTCACCGAATACCATGGGACTGCATCTCCTAACGTTGCTCCACTGACTTATGGGTTGGAGCTCTAGGTCGAATCTCGTGGAGTTGGCTCCCTAAAAAAACCACCTACTTCGGTTTTGGCACCCGGACAGTACCACAGCTTTCACACAAATCAATGATAACTACTAGTGGCGCCATTGTTATTGTGTTACGCATATGTATTTGGTGCCTCATTTTACCAATGTTTATGTGTTCAAATAAACTTTAGAAAAGTAAATTGTATAGTAGTAGTCAATGTGAATATACACATAATATAGTCACTTAACAGTTATACAATAGAAATATGTACATAATTAACAGTCCATAAATAATTCCTAGCAGTTACTATTCATTAATTCTTCGCCAGGATATAACAAGCGCGTACTGCTAAGGACTCTAATAATAAGACGAAACTGCTATCTAATACTCGTTGGTTCTCAGTGACACCATAATTTTTGAAGAATACCACCTACAAATTATCAATTAATTAATCATTGTAGAAATTCTTACTGGTTTTTTGTTGTTGTTAATTTACCTTAGGCATTTCTAACGAGTGTTCGCTTGAAATTTATTGGTTTTCATGTTCCTAATGATATAATCTCTTTGGCTGGTCTTCCTGAACCAATTCATGAAGCTGTACGTGTAATGCGTGAACATCTTTATATTTCATTAGGTGAAATGCAAATTGAACGAGAAAATGAAATTGCTCAAAATCCTCTATCTATGGTGAGTTATTATTATTATTATTATTCCCGAACATGCAGTATTCGACAATGCCTGGAAATACAACTGGCAAATGAGGTGGAATCATTATTAAAGTATTATTATTATTATTATTATTATTATTATTATTATTATTATTATTGGCTTTATTAATGGCTCTCAAACAATATGTTCCAAGTTTAAACACTCAGATTTCGATTTAACCATCTCTTGCACAATTAAAATAGAGCTCAGGGTTAAGTGCATGGATCTGTACTTGGGAAGTGAGTTGTAGTTGTTACGTCTTATGGCCCGTCAGATATCACGTGACAAAATTACCAACTAATATGACATTGTCCCAATACTAAACCGTTACGAGCAACCTTGAGTCCACCTAGTCCTTATTGGTCCTCTGTATTGAAGTTCTCGCCTAACCCAGCCCGGTTCAGTCCAAAACGTAAATGTCCCTCTATACTGTATTGGTAGCATTTCAGACGTACTTGGTTTATATACAAACAGACCAGACCACATCACACTATAAAATGAAAAATAATAATTATACAAGATGAAACCAAAAGTGGTTATGTGTGCGAAAGATTGTAACTAATTGGTTAGGAATAACCTAAAAGTAGTAAATGTTATAATAGAAGTCAATAGGTCTATAGATAGTCCCCGAAAGTTACCCGTAATTTGATCTTCTTCGGACGCAACAATAGTCATACTGGGACTTGGGGCTGCTGAGCTGGCATCGAATGTAGATGGCTCATCAGATCATTGGAGTGCAGGCGTCTAATGTCCCGGGTGCTGGGTTCATGTTTAATTGAGTTATAGTAAATGAACTCGATTTCATATATCATGGATTGAATGTGCATAATTTTTATCTTCATCCGATATTTCATACATTTCTATCTTCTTTAATGAAGGAATTTTGTTATTTTTCTCAAGGTAGGACAGTCTATACCAGATACACCAGTTGAACGACTCTATCGTTCTATGTATCCTTTACTGCCACAATATATGGTAAGTTATCAACTTGTTTTTAAGTTCAACTATGTGCTAAATAACTCTGTAAATGTTTGTAAATGCTCATTTTTTAAATATTCATTATTGAAACTGGTCAGTATGTGTTTGGTCAATATAAGTTCTAAGCGGATTGATTTGAGATTACAGTCTCCCAATTACAAGTTTTATTATATTGTGTCAGTGGTTAGTGTGAGGCATGCGTGTTTCTTTCCATTTTGGATTCATCTAGATGTATGCTTGTATCCTAGTATTGCTGATTTCCATTTTGGGGCTTGAATAAAAGTGCCTATCTCTTCAAGTTCATCGGATTCATCGTGAACATTAGCTACACTAAATTGCAGATTCATCAAGCTAATGAGTACCGAATGTGATGTAACCCGTACTGTAGGCCACGGTCCAAACGTAATAATTCTGTAATCTATCAAGATTGTATCATTTTATTATTTTGAGTTTTAATCACCAACTGGTATTAGCTAAATCATCATCAAGACCAGAGAATACTGACTGACCGTTCTATCCTAATATGTGACTCCTCATTACAGTATTTCCAGGTTTTCAGTTAATATATCAGTTAGTAATGTAAGCTTCGAGAATTGTACGATATCTACAAATCCCCCCTGTACTAATAATCGCTTTACTATCGTTAAATTGAGTTGTTGTTAAATCGTGCCAAAAATATGAGGCATTTATTCACATACAGAATATAAACAATTGTCACTCTACAAATTACAAATAGAATGGAATTGAAAATTGTGAATTTTTCAATTCTGATTCAATAGCGGTCGTAAGGTAACAAGTATGTATGTGGAATAGTATTGACTTATTGGTTAATAAGGTTCGACTTTTAGTCACTAAGTCACAGGGTTGAACCCCACTTTATCAATATCGGTTTGAGGAACCGGTTAGTATCAATAGCCCTTGAAGCCTAGTGTAGTAATCTGTACACCTGGTAAATAAGTTAAGAACAAGGATTTAGTGGGACATAAAAACCTTAATTTCTATTTTGTATGAGGTCATAGGCACGTTGTGGTGAAAAGTCAGTTTTTCAGATCTTGTATCAGCTGATATGCTTGAATCTGTTGTTCCGTACTCTTTCACTCAATTTCATCATCAAGTAAGTACTTTCGCTCATATTACTTGACTAACTCTTCAAGTCACAACTGTCTACTAGCATTTCTTTAAAAATTACTGTAAATCAGGTTAATACAGTTGATTAGTTCTGCTTTGAGACATACCTATCGTGCATTTCCATAACCATACACAGATACGTTTTAATAAAAAGTATGAATTAACTATATAGTTGGGAAATTCATCAGATGTATTTTGTCACTTTAACGTGTTATATTAAGTAAAGTCGCGCTACGGTGTAAATTTTGACCTGATGTTCTTCGGTTTTTCATCCTTGAATTACAGATTGCTTTACTGAAGGTTCTGTTAGCTGCTAGTCCTACTTCACGTACAAAAACAGAATCTATCAATATTTTAGCTGAAATGACACCTGAAACAATGCCGTAAGTTTGTCAACAGTAAAATTAGTTAGTTTATTTTGTATTGTTTTGAATTATCCCGTTCTTCATATTTTTTGACTGCATTTTGATCAGCCTTAATATTGGGTACTGCGTTCGAATCCCTGAGTAAACATCAACTCTGGGATGTAAACGTATTCAACTGACGAGTTAAAAATATCTTAACGAGAATATATGTATAATGATCAGATTGTGCTAATACTATCCAACTTTTCAGATCAGCTCCATTTTCTCGTTATACTATTGAAATTTATAAACGGTGATATATCTGCGGTCGCCCTGTTACGTATACTCGAAAACGAGAAACTATTACAATTCTCACGACGTGAACTAAGAATACAAAAATTGGTACAAGTGAAGATATACTGACTGCAAACATGACAACTGAGTTAGGACAAATATACTCATTCATATACTGGTTATATATACATTTGGTGATGAGTTAATAAACATCATATAAGTGTAATGATACACAGGTTTACTGTAAATACAAATAAAGTTCACAGAGAATGCAATTGTTACACTAAGCACAGTTCACACTTGTCATACTAAACAAAAGGGAATATTTAGGAATTTTTAGTGAATTTCAGCTAACAGAATGATTTTGTTTAAATGGAAATTGACAAGAATATCTTTAACAGGATAATAATATGTATATCATACCCGTAGATCAAATCAGTGGTTATCTGGATTCAGTAGTTCAGTGGATATCATATTGGTCACAATTGATTGATCACTGGGTGGTGACCAATGTCATGTGTGTCAAGTCCTTATTAGTGCAGACCGAATGCTATCGATTATGATGCAATGTGGCCATCAGTCTAGGTGACTCGACACTGCGTGCACTATTGTGAGATTAGATGGTGATTGGACGTAGTCGACAGGAAACCCTGGACCTGGGTTCCGTGCTATTTGGCCCAGATAGCTCAGTGGTAACGTCTCTGACTGTGAAGCTGACTGACACGGGATCGAATCCGTCAGGGAGCACCAGTTCCCTCAAGATTACAGGTACACCTTGCTGACGAGTGTCAAGTAGCACGAAACTCGGGTCCGGTGTTTCCTGTCGACTACCTCCAACCACCATCTAATATCATATTGGTGTTTGAAGCGAAGAATACAGGATTCAAATCCAAAAAATGTACTATTTCAATTACAGTACAATGAAATGATGTATGGTAGATGGGTGTATAATGTAGAAATAGCATTGGATTGATTATGAGCAAATTAATATGTATATAAAAAAGTCAAAACATTTGTAAACAGTATGTATGTGCAATAGAACTAACGTTTTTTTAAGGTCGTTGGAATAACACGAAAACAAAAGGTGATAACGCGTCCATAATTTAATGGTCATAAATTATTGGGACAACAGGCTCGGAACTTATGAAAAATAGTCGGCTGGCGATATATGAAGAGTGTTTGGTTGAAGTTGTCAATGAAATATGAAATACGCTGATTGCTAAGTACGGGTTTGAGCAGTGAATATTGAATGAATATTGAGAACATAAGTTATTACTACTACTGTGGTGTGTGCTACTTATATTGACATAAGTAGCATATAATGTTAGTCGTGAACAGAAGGTCTGGCAGCGGAGAGATAAGAGGATCGAACAGTAAAAAATGGAAACAAAATGCAATTAGTACGAAAATGCAAGAACAATGAAGTCTGAGTCATTTTGAGACAATTGACGGACGTTTTGCAAATTGCCCCCGAATGCCCTGGTACGGCCGAGAGTGGGTAGAGTCCTCTCTCACATGGCCACGCGTATATAGCATCTGTCAGGGAAGTCCTACTCATTGCCTTCTCGTAGCGGGGGTGTCGTTTACGAAAATGAGAGGACGGAAAGCGAATGTCCGGCGCTTTAACCGGATTCAAAACCAATGGTGTACATGGGCTCCGGTACCCTGAAGGAACAAATGGTGTATGAACCAATCGTTGGTCACCGGCTTCCATGGGACTGCATCTCCTTACGATGCTCCACTGCCTTGTGGATCAGACCTTCAGGTCGAAGGCTTGGGGAGTGGCTCCCTTAGAAAACCACCTGCTTCGGTTTGGGCACCCGGGTAGTATCGCAGCCCTCATACATATCGAATGAGATTTGTGTGGCGCATATGTATTTGGTGCGTCGTTGTACCAATATCTATGTGTTATAATAAATAAATAAACAATTTTGCAAATTAAGCATTTACTTTATGATTGTTAGATTTTATTATCAAGTCCTGTAATTCTGTATCAAATACATTCGATTGTTCCCACCCGTGTTCTTGTTCACTACACTACTACTCTAAACTCATGTCTAGAAAGTCGTTACTAACGCTTTCCAGTATAAAGGTGATTGCAGTAACGCATACGAATCATCGGTTGAGCCCACCAAGTATCCTGATACATTGACGATATATTCTGGGTGTAGTAGTCAGGGCAGTTTCTAATACTTCCCCGGGTAGTCTATTTTTAGCTGGCCATTAAATATGACATTCTACTCTGGTCAAGTATTTTATGACTTTTCTATGTATTTTGTCATCGTTTACCTTTTTAATTGTATTTTACGTATGCTTACATTATGCGTATCTGTCATCCATACACTAATTGATTATCGGTGGTTTATACATTATTCATCTCATATAAAAGGACTGATTCACCCCTGTTATTTCATTAAATAGACGTGTTTGCCTTCTCCGATTCACATCTTTTATCATCTGTATGCATTAATGGATTCCTGATATTTATAAACAAAGTCACTTTCTCATTCAACTTTTAATATACCGTCATTCACAACATGTTAATTCAACAGAATATGTGCGTAGATAAGTAGGATATATGCATCGTCTTTATCATTATCGTTTGGTCATACCGAAGTCAGTAATGAACATTAAAAATTTCAGTTCAATTCATATGTTTCTTTTATACATTCCATTTATCTATCCATTCGTTGTTATCATGTTTTTCTATTTCCTTGTTGTTGTTTTTTCGGGTCTATTCAGAGCTGATGGAACCGAAGAGACTATACTTGATAGTGATAATAAACGTCATCGTGAAATTATTGTTAAAGCAATATCAGCTTTATTATTATTACTATTGAAACATTTTAAATTGAATCATATTTATCAAGTGAGTTAATTATTATTTTTAAAGAGGTGTAATAACTAAATGTGAAGTAAATCATTTAAAGTTTTGGATTCGACTCCTCTCCACATGAGTTAGCCAATTACAGTTCACTATGATCGGGCCTACACACCATTTTATGATCTAAATTTTCGTTAGATTAAACTGATGCTATTGTGTGTAAAACGGGTACAACTATTACATGTGATATAGAGTTTACGTTTATAAAACAGTTTATTTAATCCCCCACCACATACCATTATATACATCGCTAACTGATATAGAGGAGTAACCAAGATCAATATATGATATCAATTCATGAAATCATTGACTGATAGTTTAAGTGATGTTTGGAAGTACGAGACTTTCTGGTTTGAATCGGTTCGATACTCGTATTCAGTGGTTGGAAAAATCCACTCACATGGTGTAAAACTACTGTCATTGTCTGGGTTGCATGCACTGCTTACGCTCTTCAAAATCCAGGTTGATGTATTATTCCCAACTTTCAATTCTACATTCTCGTCTTGTTATATCGTGCTGTCGTTCGATTGTGATGTGATACATACTTCATATGCCCGAACCTTACATGGCATGTAAGTGATGAGACTAAGGATGATTGGAAGTCTCGACTGCCAAAGCAAATCAAAATGTACACAGTTTATTGCTATATAGATGTATATATGTTCCAGCTCTCGAATATACGAACCAAACCTTAACGAATTGCGTAGTGTCAATCAACAGCATGCCTCCTTTAACATGTTTCTTCCTATTTTAAAAGTATTTATAATACTCAAATTCTAACTGAAGTGTGATATTACTCCTTTTATAATTATTGGCAATGTGTAGCCTTCAATCCCCACCTAGCTTGATAAGTGATGTTAGCTGATGTACGAGTAAGCCAGAAGAAAACACTTACTTTCTATCTTGTTTTAGATCTTCAGTTTCGGTATTCTTTCATACGTACTTTTCATACTGTTGCCTCAAGTTATATTCCAATTGTTCCATCTTTATCACGAGTGCTACTATGACCATTTTGACTTATTTGCTGATTAGCTTATTTGTTTTCCATCTCTTTGTGCTTATGTAATATAGAAACTTGAGTTAACACAAATTTATGACAGACTCTATGTTGATTATTTATTTATGTAGTTAAACACATAATGATCGGTAAAGATAGACACTAAATATATATGCACCGTACATTCTTGTTATCATTCTATTCGTGTGTTTGAAACTAGGGTTTTCCAACTCCCCTAGGTGGATTTTCCGTACCTATCAACCCGATTTAAGCCTCGAACATTCGCTTTTCGTCTTCTCAATGTCGTAAACACCCTCGCCGTAATAATGCAGTGAGTAGGACTTCCCTGTCCGTGGCTGTATACGTGTGGTCATGTGAGAACATCTTGAGGGAGAGCAGATGCTCTTCACCCTTAACCGTATCAGGGCATTTGAGGGCACAACGTTGATTATGACTGATTGATACAAGTGCTTTGATATTTGCAAGCAAAGATAACTTGGTGACCAACAGTGGAATCCAGAACGCACGTTTCGTCCTATCTGAGACTCGTCAGCCATATTTATCTGCTTTGATATTCATTTAAATTCATATTAGTCTTCAGTTTCTAGTTCACTGGAATATTTCTTGCTACTTCAACTTAAGTATGTTGTAACCAATTAATTCTTATTTTTCTGGTATAGAATACATTGAATGCTTCATTGTATTTTAACATAATTATTAAATTTTATATTTCAGTTTGAATATGTTTCACAGTATTTAGTTTTTGCTAATTGTATACCATTGATTTTGAAATTTTTCAATCAAGAAATTACATTTTATATTACATCGAAAAATACGTAAGTTATTCTTGTTTATGCGTTAATGCATTCTGTAAAAAATATGATAAAATTATTAGTAATAATAATAATAATAATAATAATAATAATAATAATACGAGATATTGTAGTTCACTTACCAAGTACAAGTTTTTATGTCAGGTGATTGGAAGTAATCTAGTAGAAACCTTGGTTAGCTTAGGTTTCGTGCCCGACAGTTGCTGCTACTTTGACATGGTAGTCGAGCTTGCCTATCGTCATGGACCGGTTGGGCTATACTGGCTGGAACAATCGTTCATCAAGGCCCTACCATGCCTTCAGGCAGGTCAGTTGAAAAACGGTAAAACCAGAAGCAGTAAACCCAAGGTCCGAGGACGAAGTTGTACTGCTAACTGTACAGAAGTGTGACGACAGTAGTGTGTTTTTCTCAGATAACCAGGATAACAGAGATGCTGCCCTCTGACGAAGGAAGGGTGGTGTGTGAAAAGGTGGACCCTAACAATACACTCCTCGTCTTATCCCACGGATATCCGTCTCCAGTGGTACGGTTTCAACAAGTACGGAGCTAACACAAAAATTACTAAAACGTCGTATGTGACCGGCATCAAGCAGTTGTCTCTTGGGCACTGCGGTCACGCTCTCAGGTCACTAAGATCAACTCTAACCCATTTTTCTCAGGTACCTCTAGAAGAGTCCTCCCATGGTGTTGGCAACCGGGAAGTGATAACCGTCCTCATACCTCTAACAGCACTCAAGACCACTGTATTCATGACTGACTGACTGACTTAGGTTTCGTGTTAGTTGGCATTGATCAATATTTTGTTATCAGCAATCTTGAGGCAATGGACACTCCTTGTGTGAATTGATCTTCTGTAGGTCCTGGATATTTCATATTAATTTATTAGTAAGTGGTAATCAATGTAAAAGCTTTTATGCCTAACTGTAAGCTACACCATTCGTGTGTGAGAGTTAGCGATTCTGGTATTATTCGGTTGGCCAAACCAAATTAGATGATACGGAGCACGAATCTACGACTCACTAGTCTATGAGTTCCGATTGCTTTGATCATACTAGCTCATAGTTCGAATATGTGTCTTCAAAACACATTACCTGATGAAACTATGTTATGTTAGAATTTGCAAAGCCCTTTTAGTCAATCAGTATACTGCTTTTATATCATTTCGTTATTACTGTGTGGTATCACAGTTACTAAGAATGCAATTCTCCTTGTCCAGTAATTCAATTTGGTTTGTCTAGCTTATTTTATCTTGATGATGTAGTGTGATGTGATCTGGTAGCTTTGTTCAGTGAACATATTTCCCATGTTCTATAGTGTACAACTCATGGGTTAGTTTTTCTTTTCGTTTTCACACTTGTTTAAACATTGCAAAACATTAATTAAACAAACCTGATGATTTTAACAGCCAATTCCAATCAACTTTCGTGAAAAAATACAAAACCTGTTTCACATTATGACGCATGCACTTATAAATCTTGGATACTTTCAACAGATACTCAAGTTATAGTCTCAACAACAACTGCCCGTAAGTAGACAAACATTAATATGCCGGGAGTACTGGAGATTATTCTAAAGGTTAAGTAATTATCGTGATGCCTGAAATGTCCAGATTCAATCTATATTCGAGTCATGGATGCTTACTGTACCAAGCACTTTCATCCCAGTTGAAGACAGGCGTCGAGGGTTTCGTGGTATTCACTGATTGTTTAACTAAAGAGTTGGTTCATGAATTAGAACTTAAAAATCACAATTTTATCCATCTATGTACTTCTTATCGCTTTATTTTCGTGTCTCTCAGACTTTCTTGTTTAGAATTCCCAGCTCGTCTAATTGGGGAACAAGAAGCATTATCGATCGATATGGTTGTAAGTTGCTTGCTTTATTTTATGTGTAACCTATTCATAAAAATTTGTCCCCATAAAATTACGTTGACCTATTGCGTTTGTGATGTATATGAGCCGTGATAAAGATGTCAAGTGAACAGTAATGTCAACTCTACTCATTAACTCATGTAACATGGTAAATAGATTGATAAGATCTTATCAAGGATCCTTTTAATGTTTATCGAAAAAATAATCATATGGAGAATACTACTTTTAAGTAGTCGTATACAGTCAACAAGAAACCGTCCCTGGCTTAGGTTTCGTGTTAATTTCGAAACGCTTCAACAAGACGTATATACAATCTTGACTGAAACCAGTGCTTCCATTATAATCCAAAATCATTTTATTCACTGTCATAGAGAGATGATACTACTAAGCTATTAAAGTTGCAACCGGCTTTCCGTATGAATAAAATATCCCAACGGATGACAAGGGTTTGAATTTGATGGGGAGCATATTAGCCATCTGAAGATTACTGTCAAATATCAGCTAACATTAAAAATATTCTCACTGTTTGCTGCTGGCTACCTCCGACAGTTCAACATTAAAGCATAGTCCACACAATGTTTAATAACTCAGGTTTGTGTTTACATTACAACTTGATCAGTAGAATTTGACCAACACTAAGGAAAGTAAACACTCATGACGTCTTTTACTGCTCATTGATCCACAAATAGAATGCTCTTTATATGATTATAGCGTATAATATGAAACATGGATGATTAGTATATAAACTTAGTAACTTGATGAAAGTCGAGAAAAAACAGGATGTATATTTTTTGCTTGACACAATACAGTTTAGCCTTAAAAGGTAATAATTTGATTATTGATTATACTAATATTATAGTACTAATTTGGAATGATCTGATCTAAATAAAGTACACTTTAACAACAGTGTGTAGAGTAATGACCTTAATGATCTAGATGTTCGACTTTCAACTATTTGGTTGCCCCTTGAAACATTACCATCCTATTTTGATGATTTCATCTCGTTATGTTGATACGACTGACAAGTTTTGCTACCGATACACCTAAACTATCTTCCTAGATCCCTTCAAATACTTCTACACGTCAACTGGAACACTGTAGAGCGGATACGAATCGTAGTAAAAATTTTACTCTAAGGTTGGTTTATGTACAGATAATACAAGGGTATTGACGGAGTTACACACGACCATAGGCCTCTAAAAATCTGCAGAACCATACTAAATATAGTAGCAATACAAGTAATTATCCAATCAAAGTCGTGGGACGTGATTCTGCATCTTTTAGATGTTTCTGCGAAGATCCTATTCAACGCTGATTGAATGAAACGTTTCTGGGTTTCCAGGAGCTTTGATAGGGGATATTTTCACGACTCTTTCAACAATGATGTGGCAATATATGTGCACTGACACACATGTGCTAACACATCTTTAGGTTGTGTTCTTCGTCTATTATAATTCGATATTGATTATCATTCTTATTTCCCTTGTTTCTTACTTAAAAACTTAACAGTATTATTAGTAGTATCATCGAATTGTTTTTTTTATGATAATTTTTTTCTTTGTTAGTTTGGTGATTGGGTTTCGTGTTGTTGGCGTAATATGTTTTCATGTATTAATCTATTAAGGATTTTGAATATGTTAACTAAATGGAAACATTCAAGAATTATGGTATGTTTCTTCATATAAATCTATTTATTTTATTTGAACACATAAATACTGGCACAAGGGAGTACCAGTTACATTGCGCCACACAAATCTCGTTTGATATGTGTGAGGGCTGTGATACTACCCGGGTGCCCAAACCGAAGCAGGTGGTTTTCTTAGGGAGCCACATTCGGAGCCTTCGACCTGAAGGTCTGACCCACAAGGCAGGGGAGCATCGTAAAGAGATGCAGTCCCATGGAAGCCGGTGACCAACGATTGGTTCATACGCCATTTGTTCCTTCAGGATACTGGAGCCCATGTGTACCATTGGTTGGAATGAGAGTTTTCCAACTCCCCTAGTGGACTCTCCATGTCCACCAACCAGGTTAAAGCACCGGACATTCGCTTTTCGTCCTCTCAATTTCGTAAACGACACCCCCGCCACGAGAAAGCAGTGAGTAGGACTTCCGTGGCTGTGACTCTTCTGTAGTTCACACATTTGCTCAGAGCTCCTTCGTTTGGTATCTTGATGGGCTTTCCTTCTCTCCAGTCTGTTGGCAGTTGTTCTTCCTCCCGAATCTTTCAGTTAAGAAATTAAAATATCGTTCAAATGCTTTGAATCCTCGTATTGTCGTGCAAATCTATTCCTGCACTTTTAAATTTTATGATAAGAATTTTTGTAGACGTAATTCGATAACTGGTCGTGGTTTAATTCTTTACGTTTACTAAATTTTGTTGAGTTTAATATTTGTTACCATGTGTTCCACCACTGTAAGTTAAAATTATCTAACTTCTGCTTATAGTTTTGATCAATCAATGATCTAACCTATCTACTTAGATAAATTCTAATGGCTAACTTCTTTTTAAGGCATGTGCTAATGATGTCTAGGAAGACGATGAAAGCTGCACATAACTTACAAAATAAAACTCCACTAATAGTACTCATTAGCTCTGAAGCCTAAGGCATTGATTAAGGTGTGTACTGACAAATCATTTCATACGTCGAAAACCTGCTTCGACTAACTTAGTTTGTACAGTCGCATAGTAGCTTTGAAAATATACGAATATGGGTAAATTGCAAGATATTTTTGTATAGTACGAGCCAACTAACGTAATTTACAAATAACTTTCACTAATCTCATTGAAACAAAACGTGTTTTTTTTTATATAAATCTACGCTAATCTATATTGATGCGTTCGTTAAACCATAAGTAGGTTAGATCTGTTGGTCGAAATTAAGGTCTTTAATTCCATTTAGAAAATATGGATCAGATTGTCCACGGATATGATTATTTGAATTAACACAATGTGTTATAACTCTGTTTTCTTACGGTTAATGACCCAGTTATTCCTATTGCTTAGTATTCTCGGACACCGATTCACTCGACAAGTCCCCAAATCAGAACACGGTTGAACAGGAAAATGATTATATTCCAAATAGCAAGTCAGAAGCCAGTAGGAAGCACAATAGGGGAAAACGTCGGTATATTTATAGTTTTTACATAAGAAGAATCCAGAATATTCTCCAACTATCGACTAGCGCTGATTGGATAAGAATTAGCCAATCAGCGTGCACCAAAGCAATCATGCATTGAGCATGCTTTAGTCTAGTCTATGTCCCGCTAACACAATGAAAAGGACAGATTACACTGAATAGCATAAATTGACAAATACCACTAGCTTGCACCTCATTAAGTCACAGGAATACCAACTTTATTTGTGGAGAATCACTAATAAAAAAAACACTTGTTCTCCCCATTCATTTGTCCAGTAACAAAATGAATTATTGTTCAGTAGGATTACTTGAAATATAGTCTGAGATAAACCTTTTCCCAATTGGCTAAAAATTTAAAATATTGATATATATAATCCCGATCTAAACATTAAAAACACGAAGTTCAACGAATTTATTATCAAGCTGTACCTTTATATGAATCTAGAATTCAAAGTTGACGAGACATCTGATACAACAAAAAATCAATTAGCGCCAGCCGTAAGAATGTTCTATGCAGCAAAACTGTGAATAACGTTCAGTAGTAAGAACTTGGTTTCTGTATCGGTAAAGGATAAGTTTCCCCACTCTGGTCGACTCCATATATATTTACCAGTTCACCTGCTCTTGTAGAGCTAGGTAAATAGGCTATACCCAGCGCTCGGATATGAGGACATGCTCCAGTGTGATTCCACACGAGTGAGAGGAAAGCAGCTAGAAGTTCCATTCTTGAACATATAATCGACTCTAATCATTCTACTGATTCACAAGTTGATTTTAAATTAAGATAAATCTTTTCCTAATTGGCTAACAATTCAAAATATGATTCCGTATTTTTCTATAGCTTCTCGTAGTCTTTAAATCTGCGCCTATTCTAAAACGTGCACTACGTGTTAGACATGCAATGCTTCAATTGTATGTATTAAAATTATTAAAATTACAAAGTCGTTATTTTGGTCGTCAATGGCGTAAAAATAATATGTCAATTATGTCAGCTATTTATCAAAAAGTTAGACATCGATTAACAGATGACTGGGCTTATGGAAATGGTAAGTTATTTACAATGTTTGTTTTTTATTTATATAACAATGTAAACTATGGACTACCTATAAAAAATTTATCGTTTACCTACAAAGTTATTTACAATCCGAATGACTACCTGTAAAGTTTCATGTGATGTAGCATTGTGTTACAATTCTAACATTGAAGTAGTAATTTACCGTTAAGTACCAACTAGTAAAATAAAGTTTAAGTCCACAATATCTTGTAGACTTCCTCTAACCTCATATTGGTACATCCACGTACATTCTATGAAACATCAGGTGATATTAAATTATATTGAAAATTGAGCAACTATTCGTCGTAGTATAACGAAACAGTAATGTATAAACAATCAACTGTAATTAATTTTGTCAACAACAATAATCAATCAGTTTATATTCATCATAGATCTGGGCATAAAATGTGCTTCACTCTAAAGTTGTCATTATGACATAAGCATGATGAAATGAATTGATCAAGATGAATACTAAAGAACTCAAAATAATAGTAGTAGTGGAAACAGTAATTAAGGTTAAACAAGAAAATGTAATGTTAAGGTGTATATAGCTGAATGCTAGAAACTAAGTAAAAGATCAATATGAATAGATTTGACTAATATCAACCAACAATGTAATGTATATGCAGTTCACATCTCATGTATATCGACAATTCTACATCCTTCTAGAAATCTACTTCAAACGTATATTTGTGTAGCCAAAACAAAATACACATTTCGTTATAGGTGGTAGTGTAGCGAACGAGAACACAGGCGGGGACAACTAAATGTGTTTGAACACAAAATCACAGAACGTCTTAGTAAGATCTGAGGTCCATACAGTAAATTCTTCATTTGCAAAATGTCAATCAATTATCCCAGACTTAATTATACAGTCTGTAGTGTGGGTTACTATGTTAAACCCATGTACCTTATTCTAGTTTTCGGACAACCCATTCTATTCATTCTACTTGAGTCACATTCTGACCTTGTTATTTATTCGCTTATCAATCTTGACTGTTTTTAACGGGCGCGTAGGTGTGTGTACATTTCTCATCCCATTACTCATCACATGTCTGTAAGTAACTTTTGTGTAACTATACTATAGACATTCATTAACGCTAGGTTAAATGAGAGTTGGCTTACCAGCCATCTTCACTCTGCGTCGTTTCTCTTCTCTCTATTCCATTCACTTTATATACAAAATATATGCATTCACAAGTCCATTCTCGTTATTCTTTTTATTTAATTCTGTTATTGACTAACGCGATTAAAGTCGACGATTATATACGAGGATAGGCGACATACGTATTTCAACAACATCGTCCGATCTAAATGACGACAAAATTCAAGGGCCACACAATACCTTCGTCCCCACACTAATCACTCTCTGTCCTCGTTCTCTTCGATCTTCTTAACGTTCTGCCGCCATGCACTTGACTTTCGATTGATGATACATACTACTTATATCTGTCGACATCAGTAGGACAAACCGCAATTGGTTTTAGTCATGAGTTTAACACACAGATCTAAACTTGTTGAATACATAACATAATTTGTTGCATTTTTTTTTTACTAAAAACATATGAAACCTTCTTCTTGTAATGAATAATTATTCTTTATTATTATGTTTCTATCTCTACTTTTAATAAAATTATATTTTACATTCAATAAATATTTATAGATGTTGATGCATTACCATGGCAATTTCAAGTTGAAGAATGTTCATTACGTACTAATGTAGATCAATTTAATCAACGTCGTTATTCGGATAATTGGTTTGATCCAGAATATAAACCAGTTGATAATTGTTTAATGAGTGTACTTAGTCAATCAATAGAATTATCTAATGAATTTAAAGAAAATTATGAAAAATGGCTTGAAGAAGAAGTGTTCTCAGTACCAATTAATTGGTCACATGTATTAGCTCATTAAAAAAAAAACAACTGTGTATCTTCCTTCTTTTTTTTCTTGCAAAAAAAAAAGGAAATCATAATACCGGTTTGTGTTTTCACTTCAAATGAAAGGTATCATTAATAGTACTAAGTAAACAAATATTCAGTGCAATGTAAGACCCGTTTTGTTTTATATCTAAATATATAACTTATGAAAAAACGTCTTATGATTCTTTCATTCGCTAGGAACACTTCTAGAACCACTGTTGGTCACAAATCCGAATAAAGTGTTGGGCAGGTATTAGCAGCTTTATTGATCATCTGCACAATATGGGAGAACGGAAAAACTATTCAAGTAGCTGCAGGAATGAAAAGATACAACCTGGCGGTGCTTAAAATCAGGCAGGCTGGATAGGAAAGACTATTTTCGAGCGAGGTACTATTGTACGTTGGTCATGAAGAGAAAACTCCCACTTCGATTATGTATAAATCGGACAGCTTATAAGAAATGACCAAATTCACTATTTTAGTCGGACATTCAGGCAGTATCCCAGCGCACAAACAAATCGAATGATGAAGTGTGGCGCATATATATTTGGTGCCTCCTAGTACCAATATTTGTGTTTAAATAAATAAATGTCTCAGTCAAGCTGTACAACTTACGTTAGTCCAAATTTCACACCTTATTTCAGCATGACGACAATCAAGAGAGAAATAACAACTCCAATAAATGGTGGAACATGAAAAATACTATTTAGCGGACAAAAGTAAGGGAAAGGAATGATATTCGTTTGAAGTTTTAGAGACTGTTTGGTGCAGCTGTGCGCGATCACGTTCTCAGTATCACCCATCAATTCTGTCCATAGATTTTGAAACATGAAGTTTGTCTATTATGTAACCGCTCTCACCACAGTTTCCTATGTCAAGACAAGGGTTGTGTTATAACTGTGGTCCTCCATGTTAATTCAACGTCTAATATGAATTTATGAAACTCCCATGATCATTAGCGATAACCATTTGGAATCTATATGATAAACGAATTGTCGTACAGTTGTTTCAACCAGACTTTTATAGTCTGTGTTAATTCAACAATATCTTTATTACATATTGATATGAGATGCAGGTACATCCAGCTGACGAGTCTCAAATAGGACGAAACGCGCGTCCTGGATTTCACTGCTAGCCACTATCTATCCTTGTTTATAAAACCTTGTGAATTAAGGCGATATCGAGGCATACGCACATATGCCAATAACAAACTTATCAATCGCAGTCTTAAACCTCAATGAGAAGATACAAGCAAAACAATACCAAGTGAATTCAATATGATTTGTTTAAACAATTTCATCTGATTCTGACATATTTTTCTAGTTTAGTGACTTAATAAACTATTTGTTTTTCATAAATAGTAATTTGAGAACATGAAATGCAAGAACAGTTTGAATATCTAAATAATGTGTAAATTACAAGGTTGAAAGAGCTTATTTGACAATATGACTTGATACCAGTCTGGACATTTGTTCAATACACTGCATAGATTACATGATGCAGAAACTAACGTTTGAGAACTCCTTTAGACTATACAAACATTCATTGACGTAATTCACGTGCAGTTACACAACTTTATAACCCAGAGTTGCCGCTTATAGAAACGTAAGTGAACATATTATTATTTAGCATTGCCCGGTGGCTGACATTTCACCAACTTACAAATGTTTCGATTAACTTCTTCTTATCATTAGTTATTTAGGTAAAGCTAGTTTGTAATTTAAATTACGTTTGACTTTTCAGCGACCGAATTGACAATTCGAACCCTGTTAAACCTATTCCAGTTTGGGCAAATGGATAATATCACAAACCTTCAAATACTTAGACCGTACCTGTTAACGATTTCAATAGATAAATAAGTCATTTAATTTCTTTTAGTAAAGTAATAAGCTTTTCATTTTAAAAAAAGTACAGGCAACAAGATGAGAGAAATCGTTTAATAAAATGAATAAAATAATCATAAAATGTATCAACTGCTTTGTACTAAGTAAGAAAAAAAAACCCAACCCAAATGGATTGAATAAATATGATGAACATATATATATACAAAGAGAGTTTCATGTAAACAGCCGTTATATATTAAGCCATATTACATAACGAGATATATATTAATGTATAGGAAAATTACATTCAAATTACAAAAATAAAGAAACAACAATAGACATTGAAAGATCAAACAGAAGATGATAGGAATAATTGAAGTTTTGATATAATACTGTACAAATTTCCACAGGTTGGTTTACAAGTTTCAAAATATTCTTCTAGTTTTTCAGTTCTATGTAGATATACAGTGTAAAAAATCAAAAAAAAATCAATAACAGTGGTAATAATAGTAATAATACTGCTTGTAATATTACACATAACCAATCCCCATGACTTGGATTTCATTCTAGTACCTTTTCATTTAAATTCTAATACGTAATCCACTAAAGCAACTGAGTCCAGATACTTACTATCTTATCTATCAGGTATCGAGACTTATTTTTAAGAGTTTGTATTTCCTTGCTAAACTTACTGAATAACATGTAGCTGTTCAGAACAAGAAGTAGTGGATGAGAGTGGGTGTAAATATCATGAATATAAGGCAGCATCCAACTAACAAGAACAAAACGCTCATTCAAGATTCCACTGGTAGCTAATAAAGAACTTTAATAAAAACTTGTTACGAAATGGAAATATTGAGGTAATCTCATGATGTATGTATAGAAATAGAGATTTGTCAATTGCAATCCTGAATATCACAATAATTAGGAAATACGAACCTTTATAAATATTGGGATAAGAGGTTCCAAAATCATACCACATGTGTGATTTTGGATAGTTGTTGTGCAATGTCATTAGTCCTTACAGTCGATGGCACAAACACGTAATAGATAAATGTAAGTTACAATATTATTACACACATCGAATTACATCGACAGTAATCTGTCGTAGTGTTCTATTGCTGGGGTATGGATCTAACGTGACTAGATAGGTTCAACTACTAATAAACAACCGCATGTCAACGATGACACAGTTGCACACAAGAAAAGAGAGGTAAGACTAGACTTTTCAAGAGAACATTCTAATCAGACTAAAAGGAGTAATCATTAAGGAAAGAGGTCAATTACACATGGGTCCTATATGATTGATATTAAAATCTATTTGTTGCTTAATGGTAGCAGTTCAAAGCAAGAAATAGGTAAATAATGTATGTATTTGTGCTATTGCGACCGGTGTCATGTCACTTCAACTAATGATCATAATCGCTGTGCAGAATATGCATTTACCAAGACAATTCAGCCCACACATCTCACTCGATTAGTTAAATAGCTTCATCGGTGGGAGTATAATTTATGGACCACCTTTGAGCGACGCTAAAGTGACCTTGAAAACTTCCATCCAATAACTAGGATTAAATGAGTCTTATAAACCAATGTGAGGAATTAGAACCATGATTTACAGTTAAGAATTTAATTTATGGTTTTCATGACGAACTGATATCAATTATGATGCCAAAACTCTACTTAGCCAAAGCATGAATGAATTACGCGCCAAAACTCAAGACTCGTTATCTTACATCTGATTCGTCCATAAACTATAATCTCGCCGTTTCACCAATCAATTTGTTATTCTAGAATCTTGTCATAACACTATTCATTCACTTTGTTTACAAAACACAAGTAATTCAATAAATCAACAATAGTAATATATAGTGTGCTAATGTGGTGTGGCAACTCGAACTGATGTACGTACGTACGAAGTTCTACGTTGTTACTGACTGACTGACTGATTCAAAGAGGTTCTTTTCTAATATTAGGTGGTAAAAAAAATCATACTTCTAATTCATATGACAATTAGGCATAAAAATACTCCAGTAGATTTTTTAAAAAAGTGATACACAAATAAAACACATACCTACCTTAGGTTTCCTCTTAAAACTTCAAATTCAACAGAACCTTGACTGGAATCCAAGTAATCCAATGACATTAAAGTGAATCGTACCATTATACGATAGTTACGTGTAGAAAATTTTACAGTTATGCTAATAAAAAATGAAACCAGGAGAAAAAGCATGAGGATGGGAAAGAGAAAGTATGTCCAGGGGGTTATCATAACAGAACTGTATATACATGTACAATATAGGAAAAGTAATCTGTCTAGCTAGTAAATAGATGTTTGCAAGATAACCATTCTTATTCATCAGGATATGAATGAACTGGTTGATAATCTCGAAATTGATAGCCATCAAATGGAGTTGCTTCAAACCATACACAATAACCTGTTAGAGAGCCGGCAGTCCAACAAAACGTCAATTAAAACATTGTGCAAGCGATATTGAATCGCTTAGTCGAGTGTTTATAAACTGCAACTTCATTAACATAATTCGATTTACATTAAGCAATAGAAAGATATGATAATGACCACTATTTACTTATTTATTTCAACATATAAATATTGGTACAAAGGGGAACCAAATAGATATGCGCCGCACAATGAATTTGATTTTTATATCGGCTGTGATACTACTCAGGTGCACAGACCGAAGCGGGTAGTTTACTTAGGGGACCACAAACGGAGCCTGTGACCTAAACGTCTGACCCACAAGGCAGTGGAGCAACATTAGGATACAATCCTATGGTAGCCGGTGACCAACGATTGGTTCATACGCCATTTGTTCCCTCAGGATACTGGAGCTCATGTGCACCATTGGTTTGGAATGAGGGTTTTCCAATTCCCCTAGGTGGACTCTCCATGTCTATCAACCCGGTTAAAGCGCCGGACATCCGCATTTCGTCCTCTCAACTTCGTAAAAAAAAATCACACTCCGCCGCGAGAAGGCATTGAGTAGAACTTCCCTGGCAGTGGTTATATGCACGTGGTCATGTGAGAGCATTTCGAGGGGGGAGAGGTGACTCTTCCTACCCAAGGCCGTACTAGGGCATTTGGGGGTTATATTGATCACAATTTAGTAATCAGTCAATGTACACACTTTTCAGTGTCATGAAATTGAAATTATAAAGTCGGATAGGAATTAACCGACTTTACATTCTCTATGAAATTCTTGTATAACAAATAGACTACTTATGAATAACTAGAATTTATCGGTAAAATTAACTATTACCTGATGAGCTGTTCTCTTACTGGTTAACATATATTTGATTTGGAATAGGCTAAGTGTCCATGAATTGGTAGTGCATCTACTCATACACGTACAATATCTGCACAGTTTTTGGGCATTTTCGTTCATTCAATAAGTGAGTGTACTCTACACATGAGAGCACGATTTTTACTGTGGAATTTCACTACAAGTTCTGACTTTCATTGTATCTGCCTTTTTTCATTCATCTGGTTGAAATGTGCCACAGTGGAATGTTCATAAAAGACATGTGTAGACAGTTTAAGATGATTGAAATGAGATATCCAGTGAGAAATATTCTCATTTCTTTAATACTTACTAACTAAATTAATTTAAACAAAACATCCTGGAAATTGCTAGATATTGTACATTCTATTAAGCATTGAAAAAAAGGATGGTTGACCTTATATAATTGTATTAAACAACTATTTTCGTCTTTGACTACTATAAAGAATTGATTGTTTTTAAGTTTGCTTATCACCTTAAGTTACAAGTTTCCATCTGAACCACACAAAAAAGATATACATGTGTAAGTATGAAACAAAAAAGAAATTTTCATTTACCTCAATGGTTCAGATGGTGTTAAGTATTCATAGAACGATAATGACTTTTCAACAGGTATCATACTTTCACCAATGATCGATTGATGATGCAATTGTTTTGACTGAAATGGTGTTCTATGTGAAGTTGACAAAGAGTGAACAGCTGTAGATCGTGGTGTTTGTCCAATTAAATTACGTAATTTCTTTGGTGTAAAATAACAACCAGTGAATAGTTGATCGTCTATTGATGTCATAACAAGATTCACATCACATTTAGCTAACCATAAAGAACGTAAATCACTGGCCAAAACCATGAACGGAACGATGATAGTTTCAATTGTCTTGAAATAATCAGAAATGCAAATTAAGTTAATAAATATAGATGAACAGTAAATCAAGAATATATAATATCATGAGTTTAGAAATACGAGATCCTTGGAATTCACTTAATCTACAATTTAGAAATTTTCTCAAGCCGATAAGTTGTTCATAGTTGCCTGTTTTTCAATAATATATATGAGTATGATAACATATAACACAATTTCACTCTGTTGGTCTGTACTAATGTATGCGTTGGTGAAGATGAAGTTCGTTTTATCTGCCGTATTTCTTTAGTCTACCTTAAAATATAGTGAAATGGTTATGTTGGCTTGGATCAGTAATACTTGCTTGTAGGGTTGCAATATAATAATGATAATTTCTGAGAAATGTTTATCACATTAGGTAGAGAACAACTACATGTAGAAAATAAAACACCATTAAAATGAATGCGAATGAGTTAGCAATCTTTCTAGACATTTAAAAGAATACATTTTTATATGTTTCTATCTCGAGATGACATTAGTTATGCAACCATTAAAAATCATTATGTGCCGATATCCGTGAAAACGATGTAACCTTCATGTTAGAAACCGTCATAGACATTTACCTACTATAAATTTAAATGTTAATCGGTCATTTTTCATCATGAGGTGATATCAACCTAGCAGAATATTGACAACATATTTGATTCATTTCAAGTTACCAAGTCCTGCACAAACTAATTAGCCTTAAAATTCGACAATCGATACAGCTATCCTTAGCTCAGTAGTTAAATAGAGAGATGGTTCGTTGATGAAAACATCTGCCTTACAACCACCAATGTCATAAATTTCAACTTTATCGCTCCATCTACAATGACTTTCGCAATCATATATGAAAAAATAACATGTTAGTCGAAACAAACTACATAAACCTGTACATGGTAAATGAGTTTTACATTGCTTTGAAGCTTAACTTAAATTATACCAACGTTTTATAATTCTCCGCTGTTAATATTCAGGAGTATTAATTGATTAATCGCTGTTGTATTATGAGGATCTTGAGCAAATAGCCTCCATATATGTTTAGAATATTTAACGTGTGGTTACTAGTGGAACATGGGATGTGTGCTTTGAGTTATTCGGGGTTCGTCAGTTAAAAGTACTTTCATTCGGGTGTTATTGACCTCAATACCGAAACTCGGACCAAGTATATTTCGCTTCATGTTGCCAACACATTATCAATTTAAATTATACCTATATTTTACTCACAAATTACACAAGAGATGTAGAAAAAAATATAAACTCACTTCAATTACATCAGCCATTGTAAACCCAATGCATCGTGTACGCAAATTATCATAACCAACTGTATTTAAATATTCAATAAAAATACGAGCAACCGATTCAACGGGTGGACACTCCACGGGACATTCAACTAATTCAAATTAAATGATAAAACAGACAATGAGCACTCAAAAGGATAAGCTAAGTTATTATCGTCAGTAGAATAAAAACATCAAGTAAAGTAATAATTTTAGGCATGATATCAGTGTTCCTTTGACAAAATCCCACTGTTAACCCTGTGTATTTTAACTAGTCGTAGGTCGATATACTTTTAAAGCCTATATTGGTCAGTTAACGTATAAACTGGTACGTAAAAACATTAGTTTAAACTGCCACATCCTATTAGTACAGAGAGATTAAATTGTCAAGCCAAATACCAGAATAGTATGTGTAGTAACAGTATCAAGGGTAATAAGAAATGTTACGCATGGATTTTATTTATTATTTATTTGAACGCATGAATAGTGGTTTAAGGAGGCACCAAACATATATGCGCCACACAAAACAATGAGAATGGGAAGATAAAAAAAGGTAAGGAGCGTAAAGGAAAAAAAAGAGAACAATAACGACCAGATTAGTGTAAGGTAGTGTAATAATAATAATAATAATAATAATAATAATAATAATAATAATAATAATAATAATAATAATAATAATAATAATGGGGAGACGGAAAGGTACACCTGGAAGAATTCTTTCAGTTAAGGAAGATACAACCACTTTTTATGAAGAAAGTAAAAGAAGGTTACAGCAGGACCGCCACTGGCTTCTATTCTGAGCCATATCTGATAACGTCTCTAGCCACTGTGTAGCACCATGTCTCGGACCCCAGCCAGGGAGTCGTAAAGGTCCAACAGAAGCCAGTCCTTTGCAGCTTTCTTTCATACCACGACACCATGTCATATACCGACCACCTCTCAGCTTATTCCGACCAGTCCCAGAGTCGGCAAATAATGCACGACGTGGAATTCTCTGGGACAACATTTGGAGAACATGTCCAAGCCACCGAAGTCGGTGCTTCAAGATGGTGACACCAACTGCATTATCGTCTCTGTGCCGGAACACACGATGCCGAACCTTTGCATTACTAACATGGTGTTGCCACCGGATGTCAGCAATCTTTCGGAGACAGCGATGATCGAACACAGAGAGTCGTCTAACATCCTCAACTCGGAGAGACCAGGTTTCACAAGCATAGAGCAGAACTGCTCTCACTGACGCGTTGTAGATCTGAACTTTCACAGCCAGACTGACATCACGAAGGCGTCAAAGATGGCCCAGATTGACATAAGCCACTCTGGCTTTCACTATACGTGCATTGATCTCATCACTCACACCCCCACCAGCACTTATGCAGGTACCTAGATATACGAACTTCTCGACTACTTCTATCTGCTCACCATCCAGAGCGAGTACAGGATTAGAATCTTGCCAGTCTTGTAGAAGTACTTTGCACTTCGAAGGTGCAAATCACATACCATACTTACGGACACTGATTGCCAACTGATTAAGTGAGGATTGCATGCCTTGGGCATTATCGCACAGTAAGACAATATCATCCGCATACTAAAGGTCGAGAAGTCTTTCTCCAGGCAACAGATCCACACCGCCACTACTTACATCCATCAGAGCTGTTTCCAGAATGCCATCGATGGCAAAGTTGAAGAGGAATGGTGAGATTGGGCAACCCTGTCTAACTCCACTGCTTGAATGGAACAATGGAGAAAAGTGGTTGTACACCTTCATGGAAGATACGACTCGAGAAGAGAATATAAATTGATGAGATAAAAACACAAAAAAGTTATGAAGAATTCAGAAGCTCAGAATTTGGAGGTATAGGAAAAGTGAACGCATTTGCGCCATTGTGAATGATTTTGAGTTATATCATTTAAAGACTGTAACCAATGCCTACAACAATCACGCGGACCCCAACCAGGTAGTCTGCACCTATTGACATGGTTAAGTCAAACTGTCAGTGACTTCATGGACTGACGCCATGTATTGGTTCGATCCTCTCCCTTACAATTCACTCCTGCACCAGAAAACCGCTCGTCGAGCTAGGCGGTGGTTAGGTATATGTAACACATGTCCCAACTATCTAAGTTGATGAAGATTTGCTATTTCATCAGTCGATTTACCATATTTGGTTGGTACTATATTCCTAACCCAGGCACTGTTTACTCTGTGGTCCAAAAATACACGAGCAATGCTTCGAAGACACCTATGATTGAATACCAGCAATCTACAAATATCCTCTGTTCTTAATGTCCGTTTCACACCCATAAAGTAGGACGTTGATTCCTGCTGAGCAGTAAACTAGTCATTTGTTTGGCAAATGGATATCTCGCCTACACCACAAGCGATGCATGTTGGAAAAGCCGACCGAGCCTTCTGAATCCTATATTAAGCTTAAATTAAATGAAGGTTTTCACTGTTAACACGATTATGTTAACTTTTGTTAAAGATCTATGGATAATTGGAAATTTTCGATTGTCACATCATAAAACTATACTTCTGCTCAGAGTCTGAAAATGAAAATAAACAACTAAGTGATCTTCGAGACTTGGAATCGTGACCGCAAAATTTAAGGATCAGCTTCTCGAAGCTTTAAATTTGTTAGAGTCAAACTCCTACAACAATATCATCAACGCAAGATATCTTATGAATAAGGTGAGGTGTGATATTATTAAAATCTCTTCTTTTTAACTCATCGTTCGCTTATGGGAAGATAGTATAGTTGAAAATGCTAGTTATTCGAGGAAAAAAACTTACTAATAAGCTATATTTAAATACAATCTGAAGTACGAATTGACCTACAGACTTTAAAATTGCCTGTTTTCAGTTATTCAACCGACTAGACAATTTTGAACTAATGTCGTATTTAACGAAGTTGCCGAAACGAATAGTTTTTAGAAATGACTAGGTAGGATTCTGATAAATGAAAAATTGATTCACAACACAAAAAGAATACAAACATCCTATGAGTAATCACTCATTTCGGATGACGTTAGGAAAAACCTTTTTGCTGAATACTTATAAAAACGAGTGTTTGATTTTCGATTAGTATTCATTATTTCTTTTCAATGTATTGAAACAACACTAACACTTTTGCTGATAAACCTCAGTGGAATCGATAAATCTAATCAAAGATAGAAATCATCGCATGAAACCGTATTATTCCATTTTCCAGACTACATGAAGATAAAAATGGATATTTGGAAACGCACGCACAAAACATTGAAACGCAAGTTCTCTATATCCCTAATCGTTAAAATCAGTTGTGAAACCTGTTCATTACACCAGAATAGTCAGTTAGTAACAATGTAGAACTTCGTACGTACGTACATCAGTTCGAGTTGCCATACCACATTAGCACACAGATGCAGTTGTCGACTCAAATTCCGTAGTGGTAGAGGCGGTAAGAGTATAAGCAGTAAACGGAAACATTAAGGTTTGAAGATTGTATTCAAGGAGTATAATACAGTGAAATAAATTTGGAAAGAGAAAAAAGAAAGGGACATGAAGAATTCAGAAGAATAGAATTTAGTAGAACACAAAGAGTGGATGCACCTGCGCCATTGAAAACGATTTTGAGCCATGTCATTCAGAGTCTCTAACCATCGGTTGCTATCATCTCGCGGTCCCCAACCAGGTAGTCTACACCTACCGACATGACTCAGTCTACTTGTCAGTGACTTCATGGACTTGTGCCATGTTTTAGTTTGGCCGCCCCTAGCTTTCCTCCAACCTACTCCTATACCACTGAACATAGCACGTCGAGGTAGTCGGTCGTTGGGCATACGTAACACATGTCCCAGACATCTCAACTGATCAAGTTTCACCACTTCATCAATTGATTTGCCATCCTTACCTAGTACCTGTTTCCTAACAACTGAGTTACTTACTCGATGGTCCCAGGATATACGAGCAATGTTTCGTAGACACCTATGATCAAATACTAGTAACCTACGAATATCCTCTACTCTTACCGGCCATTATTCACTGTCACGAAGTTGGACGGAACGAACTGCTGCGCAGTAAACACGTCCTTTGGCTGATAGACAGATATCTTGCCTACGCCATAAATGACGCAACTTGGCAAAAGCTAGTCGGGCCTTCTGTATCCGTGCTGAGATTTCGTCACACAGCAGACCACGAGGGTTGATGAGACTCCCAAGATAAGTGAAGCGGTCGACACGCTCAACTACTTCACTCCCTATTATTAGTTTGGGTGTCGAGGCAGCCCAATCCTGAAGCAACATTTTGCATTCCGAGGGGGGAGAATCGCATCTCGAACATGCTTGCATTGTTCCTTAGGGTGGTCAGCAGACTCTGCATTTTGTCAGCGTCTTCACCAGAATAAGAACATATTAGGTAATAGAAGGTAGTCAGTAAGGTATCCAGGGCACAGATTTTGTGCTTTTCTGAACTCATCAGCGAAATACACCTTTATTCACCAAGAAACTGATTCCTCATGGTAGACTCAATCCACCGTCGCAGTCTGAGACGTTACTTACTACCGAGCGATTCCAGATGCGAGTGAACTGTAAGACAGAGATGTTTACAGCTGATTATTTAATAAACAATTACCGAAGTTACGTTTGCCCGATCTTTATTGCCGATCAAATTTAATAGGTGAAGTTGGAATCCAGACACTAGTCTAAGTGAACCGACATTACGTGCACTATGACGAGATGGTAGGTGGTTGGAAACAGTCAACAAAAAACTTTGAACATTGCTTTCGTGCATTTCAGCGCTCATTTCCTCAAAATTACAGGAATGCTTTTGACGAGTACCGAAGATCAGAGTCAAGATTTTCAGCACTAACACTAAGACAGTTCTACTGTACAGATGTTTCACTAAAACGTACAGTAATTTATAACCTATATATGCAAAGTACATCAGATCCATTGGTCAGAGAAAAATAGCAATTACCTACTTTGGAAAAGAATAAAGCAGCTATCAGCTGAGGAGGTGATCAGGAATAGACATTGGAGGTGAACAGGACGCATTTTTACAGAAAACAAGTCCTAACTTCGAATCCTCAAGGTATAAGAAAAGCAGGCAGACCAAAGAATACATAACGAAGAAAACTGGAAGCAAGGATCAAGATCATGAATAGTATCTGGTTAAAACTAGAGCAGAAAGCTTACGACATATTTGGATTTACATCCCTGGTTGGCGGCCTATGTCTTAAGAAGGGTAAGTAAGTGTTATAAATAATTGGTACGGCCTATCATTACTAGGTATGTTGTAAGTTATCTTAGACAAATCGGTGGTACTAAGTAAATGGCATCCACACAGAGATTTAATCTTAGTGAACTTTAGATCTAACAATGGAAAAAAAATTAAAGAAAGTTATCACAAACATTACAATAACCAAACAATACAACATACCATCTGCTGGTGCGACAACTTGTACACTGATCACTTTCAGATTTTCCGGATTAACTGTCGTCTGCATATCGTCATCATCATCTTCTTCATCGTCATCACCGTCATCATTACCGTCAATGCTTTCATTACATTGATGATTATTGTTATTCTTTCTATCAGAGTCATCAACTAACAGATCGCATACTTGACAAGTTAATACGAAATTCACTAGACCAAATAATGTTGATACTTCATACATATGATTATCTTTGTCAAACGATGTACATGTTATACGACAAGGTGAAAGTCTATTAGAGAAACAATAAGAATCAATATGTGTTTAAAGAAATATTCCTTTATTTTAAAAAAAGACAACGAAAACTTAACTGATATTTTGATTTGATAGCCTGATCAAGATGTGATGTCATCATTTCATGAAGTGATTGACTTTTAAACAGAAGTCGTAGATCTTTTTAGTCAGAATTAGATAACCTAAGATGAAGCAATTTATGATCCGTTGCAAAAGCATCAGTGGATTTATTCTTTATTGTACACTGAATCTTGTGAATTCAATCATTTAGACATAAAGCAACCAAGTTGGAATGTCATTCGAAGATAATAATTAGCGATAATGGAACGCAGTTCTTGTCTGTCACATTCAGAATTTGATTGACAGGATGGGATTAACTATGTCTAAATACTCAATCTGACGATCAAGTCGAACATTTTGTTGGTATATTAAAAAAAACCTATGAGCAATTTGGAAGAAATGAGGATCATCGAAGAGATTTTACAGATTCTTATGCTCATCTAATGTACTAAACTGAGTAGCCAAACAGTTAATGGGGTCTCGTCTCAAGAAACTTTACTAGGCTGAAAATTACGTACATCTATCGAAGCTAGTTATCCAGTCCCAGGACTTGAGTCCAAATGAAACGGATTATTCGAGAAGAAACTCAATTGATACCATGGAGAAGAAAGATGATTGCTTACTATGAATTTGGAGATATTTGTTACGGACAATCAGTAAGCACCCATAACATAGATATTCCATTGAATTATGTAAAGAAATGGAAATAACCGTCATGAAGTGTCAGTAGGTTCATAAATTCAGGTGCATCAGCCAATATAACTAAAAACGCCTTCGATTAACACCAACGAGAACCGATGTGGAATATCCTCAGACATTGTAAGGTACATTCGAGCTCAAGTCTCGACAAAGTCAGGCCAGTTACTGAAAGGATAAAAAACGATAACTCTTTATTGCCTAGAAGGTGGACAGACAGGAAGGCCAGATCATTTATTTTAATCGAAGTGAACTGTAACAACGGATCCTACGAATATGCTCAGACGGAAGGTGTTAGTAGAACAAACATTTGATTAACGCATCTTTCGTACAGGTTAAAGTTGGAGTAAGCTGAATGGTCAATTTTCAACTAAACAGGAGAATTTAATGCAATTGGTTCCCTTTGTGAATTAAAATAAAGCCAGAACGAACATGGATACAGAATAACATGAATTCATTATATTCCGTAGTTTCTCATCAGCTGCTTACAACAATATATGTACTGGAAGTTTACAATTAGGTAAGATGTAATGTGAAACAATTGACACAGATGAGTGAAAGGAATTGAAATGACAAAGGTTATCAATAATGACTTTCTATATGTATGTGAAATGACAGGTCGGTGGTCATTTGGTGTTGGAAACCAAAAAATAAAAGGGGTGAGTTATGCATTAGTTAAGTGAGGTTCAGAGGTAGATAACTAATGCATCACCCATCCCTTTTATTTTTTGGTTTCCAACACCAAATGACCACCGACCTGTCATTTCACATACATATAGAAAGTCATTATTGATAACCTTTGTCATTTCAATTCCTTTCACTCATCTGTGTCAATTGTTTCACATTACATCTTACCTAATTGTAAACTTCCAGTACATATATTGTTGTAAGCAGCTGATGAGAAACTACGGAATATAATGAATTCATGTTATTCTGTATCCAGTCAGAGGAAGTTGATAAGCTGAGAAAACCAAAATGTTTCTGTTTGAAGTTTATGTATACACTGACATTCTTTTGCTAAATTAAATTCACTTCCTATTTGCTTTGAAATATATTTACGTTAATGTCCAAAGTCTTGTTTAAATTTGGGAAGGAGTCGAATAAAATAAAATGTCAGTTTGGTCATCTTTTAGACTTCAAAAATTTTAATTTATGGAATTTGTTCGAGCATAACCCAATTGTAAATGTCTTGCTACCAAGATACAGATCCACTAAATTACAATAATCTTTTATAGACATGATTTACAAAGGACCGACAACACAGATAAAAAGTTATGACACGGTTTAAATTCAAGTACGCTTTAAGCACTGTACAAATAATAATACATGTAAGTAGTTTTCTTCTTCGATTGACCTCTGCTGAAGTACCACTGAAAATCAAAGTGTACTGTAGACAATTATGTCTTCCTAGAACGGGTCTCTACAGAGGTGAATACCCACAACCCTGACAGAGATCGAGCCCCAAACCTTTAGATACGGTGGCAAGCACTTAACCATTGAACTATAACATTTCTAACTTACATAAGTTTGAGATATAATGAGGTAACAGTGAACAGAAACTTTTGGAAGCTTACAGATTTATTAATTGTCTCGTAACTATTGGTTCGAGTCTGCTCCTATCATTATTATTACAATGCTGGATAATGGATGTTTCACTGATCGGTATGGGAAATAATTCTGTACAGCCGATAGAACGATTAACTAGAGTGCTTGAATTATACAGTTCCTCTTGACGATTTTTTTCTGATAATTCTTTCAACTTTTTTTCCAAGTACTGTTTTCTTTGGAGTAACTTTTTATTTGATTGACGTATTACAACCTGACGTTGAGTGGTTTCATCAATTTCTTGTTTGATTCTATTGAGTTCTAAGAGAATAATAAAGATTGGAATAGAGATTACAGTGGAAAGAAGAATCAAAATATTAAGAAAACTAGTTTACACTGTAAACGCGAATAGTGATGGTTATTTATTTAAACCAATCATTTGTGTATCATCAGTGCATACTGATGGTGAGTTTTAAAAACTAGGATGAAACTCGTGTCTAGTGCTCTTGATGTGGTTTTCAATAATTGGCTATCTAAATGTAGACCTATGATGTAAACGATGAGAAAACCATTTATGTATGTAATTTGCAAAAACCATGTGCATGTATATTGATTAGAGGGCTTTGTAACTGCCTGTTTATTTCATTGCTAAGAAGAAATCAGATTATTCAGTTTTTTGTTGCTACATGTTAGTTCTTTCTTCAAAGGATAACATCAATGGTTACCTAATTGGTTGTCGTTACTTTTAGCTTGCTAACTGTTGTATAGCCAGAGTAGATTTTCAATTTTTAATTTCTCACGGAACTTAAAGTTGTCTTGAGAGTCTCATTTCCCATATTCCTAGTAGGTTGTGGATTAACAACGTTGAAGTATTGTTGTGTAAGTAGTAGTAACAACATCGTATTAGAAGAATCCTCAATCGTTCGTAAATAGAATTTCCCTTTAACCAACCTCCACTAATTTAGTCACTATTATCGAAACACGACGTTTATGTAAGAATAAAATAATAACAATATAAAAGGGTTGATCAATCACTAAGTAGTAACCTATCTCATATTTATTTATTTATTTTAACACATAGATATTGGTACAAGGAGGCACCAAATACATATGCGCCACACAAATCTCATTCGATATGTGTGAGTGCTGTGATACTGCCCGGGTGCCCAAACCGAAGCAGGTGGTTTTCTTAGGGGGCCACTCCCCTATCTCATATTTATATAATCCTCAATGTTAACTAAAGTCTATTGATCAAATTAAAACGTAACTAATAGTCTATTTGATCGTTTATCGTTGTACGTACTACTAATTTGATGAGTATCGACGTCATGTAGTTCAATTTTCCCCACTGATTCTCAATGTGAGTAGGTAATAGTTTTCAAATAAAAGAGGATTACTAATTTAATTCTAAAACACATCTTTCTAACTATAAACAATTCAACAATTATATTTTGTACTTATGATAATCAGTAAAATAAAAAGATTATAGTATTTCAAGGGGAAAAGTGATATTTACATCACATCAATTAAGGCAATAGTTCTTTCATGTTTTGAGTGTAGCATAATTCTTGATTCAGTACAGTAATACAGGATTTTTTGTAACTTTTGAAATGCTTCAAATATATATAATTTCAACTCACTTTGAAGTATTTCTTTGGCATACGTCTCGAGTTCTAATAATTGTTCCTGCTCTAGAATATTTAATAATAAATAATTTTGAAAATTTTAGTGCATTTAAACGTTGATACATCAGAAGATCAATCAGAATAATGATATATATATCAGTTAATCACTCGAACATAACAAAGAACCTAGCACACGTGTACGTCGGTTCAAGTTGCCAAATCCCATTAGCACAAGATGAAATTGTCAAGGTAAATCTTAGCGTAGAGGTAGTAACAGTATTCACAGAAAAGATTAGAAAACCAAAAGATAATATAAAAATGATTTTGAGCCATATCACTCAAAGTCTTTAACCATTGGTTACGACAATCTCATGTGAACCCCTAGCATAAATATATATGTATACAAACCAATAGTAATACGAGTAAATGGAAACTAAAACTGATCTGGTCTTCAAATGAATTTCAAAATGGAAACAAAAGTACAATTTACAGTGAATGTAAAAAAATATGCTTACATCTAGTTATACGTACCTAAGTAAACTATAATGATTCATTGAAAATTAACACTTTGTATATAAAAAGTAATCCAATTTACAACCGACAACAGCTATAAATAACTTGTTGTACTTTAACACAGAACACTTAATTTACATGTTTAGACCTGACCGTTGCAGCTACCTTGACGTAGTGTTCGAGCTTGCCTGTCGTCATGGACCGACTGGCTATACTGGCTGGAACAATCGTTCATCAAGGCCCTACCATGCCAGTCAGGCAGGTCGGTTGAAGAACGGCAAAACCAAAAGCAGCAAACCCAAGGTCCGAGAACGAAATCGTACTACTGATTGTACAAAAGTGTGACAACAGTAATGTGTTTCCCTCAGAAAACCAGGATAGCGGCGATGCTGCCCTCTGACGAAGGAAGGGTGGTGTCTGAAAAGGTCCACCCTAACAATGCACACTTCGCCTTATCCAAAAAATATCCGTCTCCAGTGGTAAGGCCTCAACAAGTACGGAGGTGGAATTTGTTGACAATTATACAATTCAAATGTCTTATATTTTCTATCTTTTCTATGAATTCTTAAGATGGTGTAGATAATGTGTTATTATTAATAATTGTATAACTGAAATATTATCTATGAAGAGAACTAATGTTTAAAAATCCTTCTGAATACTAAAAGATTCAATGAGTCTCCTCCTTACCAATTGATTAGACAATATTTATATGTTTACGAGCGAAAAGTGAAGAATCTCTGAAGTTGCAGTGAGTTTAACAATGCTAGAAGTGAAGTAGACGTGACAACTGGATGATAATAGCTTGTGTTACATTATGACGAATTGAAATGTGCACAATAAATGTAATCTGACTCAGCAGTAAAACGTGTTATGTATTCACCAATATGCATGGCTTAACACAATAGTAAGTGTTTTTATGAACTGATAGCATGTCTAAGTTTAGCTCCTTTTAGCTTTCCTCCAACCCACTTCTACTCCACACATTTATTATTATTATTAACGTGGGTTAAGGTAAGCGATGGTTAAAATTACGTAATATATATCCCAACTACCGCATCACTATACTTATCAAATATCCATATTTTGGAATTAAATGTGAAGTTAAAAAGACGTAGCACCAGACCATGGAGATATTGACTGTTAAACTGAGTCATTTATGTAAGTACAGACTACTTAGTTAAGGTGAGAGTAATTATTACAACCAATATCTAGAGTATTTCGGTGACATAGCTAATAGCCGTGCCCAATGGAGCAGATCCATTCACTTTCTATCTTCCTTTAAAATCTGAGCCCACAAATCGCATTATGTCTTTCTGTATACTTAATATTATTACTGTTACTACCACCGATACTGTTATTCGTCCTAATACACTGGGATTTGTCTTGAAATAGTTTCATCTCCCTGTGTTAATATGATATAGCAGATTAAATCGATGTAAGTATGTATCAAGTTCTACGTTTTACATGACTGATAACTGATTAAAGTCAAGAATTATAAAACAGCACTCTTTAAGCTTTCTAACTTAATAACATTAAGTAGTAGCATCCAAAGTTTAACTAAAAATAATATTCATAGTGTACTTTTATTATTTAAAAAGAAACGATAAATTCAATCAGTATTTACCTTGTCGTTTTTGTTTTAGTTCAGATTGTTTTTGATTTATCATTAATTCAAGATAATCATTCAATTGGTTTAAATTATCAATTTCCAACTGTGAACAAAGAAAGATATTTTAAAAAAAACACTTAGATATGAATTATGAAAAAGCATGAAATGGGCTCTATTAAGCATAGATATATACATTTCAGTTCTATGATCGATCGCCGTACGAATTGGCCAATAATGATGTCAGCGTTTGTGAAGTTAAATGATACAAATTCAAATTTCATAAGGAGTATCAATTCCTTCAAGATTGTATGTGTTACTCGCTGATAAGTACCGATTAGCACGGAACCTAAGTAGGTTCAGGGTATACCAGTTGCTACCTCTATTACATAACAGAATTATGTGAAAAATAATTTAAAGTATAATCATGTGTGATAGATATTTTTTCTTCCGAAAATTATGTGTTGGGACTTGATTGATGATGAGTGAAATTCCATATTGTCTCTCAGTAGTTTTACTTTACATATTCAATGCCTGAAGGATATCTATGATCAAAAACCTAAAGTCTACGCATGCTTTTTCCTTTAACGTTTCATAACTATAAAACAAAACACAGAGAAGTTCTGAACAGCACACTCGCTCCTTTGCTCGCAGAAAAACATTTTGTTTTGCCTACATCATAAGTGACGTAAGTTGGCAAAATTCAATCAAAATTTCTGAATCTATAACAAGATGTTGTCAGCCACCAACCTATCATGGGATATGAGTGTTGGGATATTCAGGAAAATATCCCAAAAATTATCCTGTCAAGCCTAATGCTATTCTTGGACATGAAATGGTATAATCTTATTGGCCAATATTTATTTAACGTGTTATTTTCCTGTTGGCCATTGTTGTACAATATTATCTTCTATTTTATGGTACGTTGTGGACTGCTTGAATGGTATATAAACAAAGCATGTTTGAAATATAATGATTCATATATCCGAGGCTGAAACTTGTGTTCTGGACTCAATTGGCTGGGCTATACAGGGAAGCGAAACCAATCAGGACCCTAGGTCGTTCTACGTGTTTGCGCGTCTTTGGTCCGATCAATAATTCGCTAACCCTTCAGCAGCAAATATTTTTCACGTTATGACAATGAGACTGTTAAGATAAGTGATGAACCCGCTTAACTACTTCCCAACCTATGATCAATCTAGGTGATGAATATAGACCAGTCCCGAAGCAACAATTTGCACTTAGATAGAAAGAAACATATCCTAAACATACTTGTATTGTTGCTTAAGTCGATCAGAAAACTGTTTTATATCAACATCTTCATTATATAGAACAATATCATCTGCACTGTGATAGTCAATAGTTGTCTCTGAGTTTCAGTCAATCCATAATATGAATTAATCTTCAAACTGTTTAACAAAAATAAAGTGAATAAACCAAGCATAGAAAAACAATCAAAATGCAACAACAACAACAGAAACAAATAAGATTACATTCAATTCTAGATTACGAGCAGATATATTCTCATCGATAATTTGATAAATTTCTTGTTGAGCAAATTTTGAACAAGTATGAAATAATTGTTGTGCACCAGCGATAAATTTTAAGTGCTGAAAAACAAACATGGAACTTTGAATGATATTGAATATTTTACATCACATGAAAACATATCGACATATTGATATATGTGTGTGTATGTGTCAAGATAGTTGAGAGGTTTCAGTCTATTTTTTTTCCTCTGATATAAGCCGAAGTGAATCGGGTCAGTCAGTCAGTAACAACGTAGAACTTCGTACGTACATATATCAGTTCGAGTTGCCATACCACATTAGCACACAGATGCAGTTGTCGACTCAAATTCCGTAGTGGTAGAGGCGGTAAGAGTATAAGCAGTAATCGGAAACATTAAGGTTTGAAGATTGTATTCAAGAAGTATAATACAGTGAAATAAATTTGGAAAGAGAAAAAAGAAAGGGACATGAAGAATTCAGAAGAATAGAATTTGGGAGAACACAAAGAGTGGATGCACCTGCACCATTGCAAACGATTTTGAGCCATGTAATTCAGAGTCTCTAACCATCGGTTGCTATCATCTCGCGGTCCCCAACCAGGTAGTCTACACCTACCAACATGACTCAGTCCACTTGTCAGTAACTTCATGGACTTGTGCCATGTTTTGGTCTGGTCGCCCTTAGCTTTCTTCCAACCTACTAATTTTGATCGACAGTCAAGTAGAGCATATGTCTCCTATCAGCGACATGCTTATTGAAGACAAAGCTCATCATTGTCAGTATAAACCTTCAGAGTATTCTAAACGCTGAATAACCGATAAATAACAGTTGTACAATGCTTAAATAACTAGTTGTATAATCATTGTATAGTTTCTTTGTTTGATTATCCGATAGCCTTTTAATAAAAATCGATGTTTGTAAATCAGTAATTTACAGAATGAAATTTCAACTTTTCATTTACACAAATCAAAACATCCTATCCACTTATATCTCTATAATCTAACTAAACATTTGCATTACACCAACATAAATAACGAACTGATTAGCTTATTTACTAGGTGCCTAGGTATGAGACACATTCTAATTGTGAGTGCTAATGATACTACCCAGTTGCCTAAGCTGAAATAGGTGGAGCTGGATTCGAGGATGGAAATTTATCGAACATCTTAACCCATAGACTACTGCTCCGCTTAAACAGCAAAATTTCATCCAATAAAAGAACCCCTAGGAAAATGAAATGACTATAATAGTTATGAATAACTTTAGCTAACAATAAAACATATCACTGGAAATATAAGTAAAATATTATCGATTAGAATGAAATACTCAACTATCAATAACTACCATTACTTCCATCAGGACTGATCAAAGTCTGGCGATATAAAGAAATCAAGTTAGTCAAACATTTAGAAGTTACTTGAGTTTATAACCAGTGATTACAGCATGAAGTTCCGATACTCATAAATAAATCAATACTTGTTGATAGTGACCAAAACAGTGCACTACAAACTGATTAAATGAAAATTACATTGTGACATAATTTGAAATATTTATGGTGGGCCCTCCACCACCACCACCACCACCACAAAATATTACTGTTAAGTTATAAGAGCTACACATAATACACCCTTTTTTTCATGTACAGATTAATAAAAGAGAAAAACTAGTCATTGATTTCAAATAATCTTACCTCTATCAAATTCATTTCAGATACGTTCTTTGTAACTGATTTTAATTGAGGCGAAATCAATACAGTACTGATTCGTTCTAGATATCTAAAATTAATTTTACAATACCTAAGTTTACCAGTTACCTTATTTAATTACACTAATATAAATTTAACACTTAAAGGTACAACAAATTACTCAAGTGACAAAATATTTAGAGTTAACATCTTGAAAAAGAAGATAAATTACATTTTAAGTAAAATAATGCATGTTTAAATGAAAATGTTTCTTGGCAGATGATTTACAATGAGTGTGTGTGTGTGTTATTTCAAGCAGATATGTGATATTTTCAGTTTAAGTGATAGGTGGTGTAGGAATTATTAGGTTGAAGAAAAGTTAGTTGTGACCAAACTGTGACATGGTATCAGTTCATGAAGACATCAACTGTTGGACTGAGCCATATTGGTAGATGCAGACTGCTTCGTTAATGTAAGTTTGATTATCGTGATCAACGGTTAGAAACTTTGTGTGACATAACTTTCGATGATTCATGACTTTACAGGTGAGTTCATCTTTTTCCTTCCTTTAAATCCCAAGTTTCGGAATTCTTCGTAACTTTTATGTTTTTCCATTTCACCAATCCCTATTTTTCTTCTCGAATCATATCTTTTATTCTTAAACTTTTCTGTTATCACCAATAGGGTTACCACTTATACTACTCTGGTATCTCGCTGAGTTGATTTGGTGTGGTAACTTGAACCGCCGTATGCATGTGACAGATTTTACGTTATGCATGACTGTTAACTGAGATTTATTTTAATACCCATAATATAAAACAGTTAACTAGAGGAAACAATACACAAAAAGAGTGAGAAGTCTGAACTATTAGGACCTCCATAAATGTTTAGAACAATGAAAAGAGATAAGAAAAGGGTATTATCACAAATGGGGGGGTATTCTAAAGGGTATAAGACTTAGATACGTTCAGTTATAAGGTTTCTACGATTTCATCAAGTATATTTATTTGACAAAGTATTCACTCTACGCAAAATATGCACCTAATCGACTGCTATGACATCTGCAGTATTTAATTTCACGTAAGATAACAGATGTAGACAAATCACAAAAATAAGCCGTGGAGATTTAACAGTAAGCCGCGTAATATTTGGGTAACAATAGAGACAATAAAAATTAACCATATACATATATAATACCCTAAATCTGGTTCACTTTTAACCCATATAGTCAAGTATTAATTAACTGGAAATTTACACTAATACAATTTTAAAGTGAATGAGGGGAGAGGGAGGGGGTGGTAAAAACAATATTGCTCAAATAATAATGATCACTTACAAACGTTTCCAGAATTCCAATCGATTTATATTCTCAGTTTCAATAACAAATCGTCGTTTAACTAATTTATCATAGAGATGTAAGCGTAGTTGGTTTTGCAATCGTAAATACTGTTAAGAATCACAGAAGAATAACAAAAACAGTTGAGAAGAAAAAATATGATCATATGAGTAAACTATTCCGAACAAATTTGTCATTATATATATATACACTCTTATTTGTGGAGATCTTAGGATGCTTAAAGTTTAAATCAAGGGGCTTTAGTTTCGCACAAAGGCCCTGGGTTCGACCCCCGAATGTGAGTTGTAGATGCTCAGTGCTTAATACCACACTAGGACGAAACAAATATCTGACATGACAGGATAAACAGGATTTTAGCATGAGACACAAGTTAGTTTAGCACATTCAGAAACATAAGAGGGTCATAAACAACACCAACCAGTGCTTCCATGTTTTTAATGATCGGCTAATTTAGATAATTTCATGATCTCAATAGAAATCAACAATCTCCATAACTCCCATACTGATAAATAATTGAAAGTAATCATCCTAAGATAAAAATTTAAATCTATATACAATAAATGAACTAAACAATAATTATTACTAACTTCATCTGATCCATATCGGTCCATATCAGTCAGCAATGTTGATTTATCCAAAGTTTCCAAGTTACAATCGATGTATTCATTTTTACGCAGGAAATTCACAATACTTTTAATGTTAGAAAAATCATATTTCTAAATTGAAGAAACAACAAGATAGAAATTGATGCAAACATGACCATAAGGTTTCATTCAAACTGTAAAAGTGTACATATCAAACAAAAGTGATCGAACAATGAATGTTTCATGAAAATCAATTCCTATTTCTTGGAAAATGTGCAATATTTCATTTGGTATCACTGCATACACATATACACGTAGTTGTAACCACACAGATATCCATAAACAAAATATTGTAGTGATTTCAATCATACCTTACACAAGAGTGAACTTGGAATAGATGGTAACAAGCCCCTTTCTAAATGACTTGATACTGTTTTGGATAAGCCGATCTTGCTCTTCTTGTGCATACGATCATCCATTTTTGATCTCTTCCACGGAAGTCTTAATATTTTTACATGGAGAGAGCATTTTCACAAAAAGAAGGTCCACGTTTGGCGTAACGCTTAAGCCACGATAGTAGGCAGTATTCGCTCACCTAAGGAGTTGGAAAACCTCTGATGTAAGCTGAAGGTGAACAGCCCACAGAATCCTAAGGAAATGAATGTTGTATGAGCTTATATCGATTACCATCAACTATATTATACAATGATATCTAAGCTAGAACATTAGATTAGGAAAAAATGGAATATAAGGATCACATTTAAAATGCAGTGATCCTGAAATATAAGAGAATATGACTTATATGATTTATAGATTAATCGAAAGTTTATTATTTATAAGATAAAACATGGACATAACTAGATGCCAGCAGTTTACAGATTCGGAGCTAGACAAAAAGATGTCAAAAAATAGCTTTGTTTGTCATTGCCATTTCATCCTTCTCTTCATATCAGTATTCTGGATGTAAACTGTCTGGACGGAAACCGAAATAACGAAGAGACACTGCATCCCGCGCCAGTTATTTCACACTGACCGTCTAGCCCAATAGTCCACAAACGACCGTGAATGGAGATTCAGCAGATCAGCGTCAACTTGGTTCTAACGCTTAGTGACATACTGATCCCAGAAAGACCAGATGCCAATACCACAGTATAGATTATTATTCCCTTGATCAGTAAGCAATTAGTGTTCATAATTATATTATTTGCTTCACACCATACAAGAATAAAATACCTAAAATTTTCACGATTCACTAAGCTCGATAGACCGCTAAAAATGGTAGAAAACATGTGTCTCAGGGTGGTGTTCTGGTTTGATAGGCAAATCAAACCTTCTACAACAGAATTCCAAGAAAACTTCTCCCAACTTGTACAATTTGCACTTTATTTGTCCATAATAAAAGGAGTTATTTTCAGCTGTCTGCTATGGACATATTTAGTGTAGTGCAGACTGACATGGCGGATGAAAAACATGAATATAGTTGAAGTCTAGGCCTGAAACGAAATTTTGAATGGAAATAAACATCCAATAATTAATATACACCCACTGAATTAGCGAATGACCGAAATTGTTGAGCACGATACAGTTAGTGTTCATCAAATGTTGCGGATAACCACAGCCGTGGTAACACAGTGCTAATAGTTCTGCGCTTTGCTTATAATAGCTAACTTTTTGGCTGAATGTGTGAAAATAATGATAAATATTTATCAAAGAGGTATGGGAACAGTATGACTCACAATATGATCGATAACAGCTTCAAGTTGACATTCAGCTAGCTGATTGCGCAGATGATTATGCAATCGTCTGGTATTTGATAAGAGCCTTTCTGGTTTATACTCATTTACATCTCTGAAAGTTTTCGGTCGAATCACTTTTTTTACAGAAGTTAAATTAGCACCAGTATCATCACCGATATTTGCTTGACGTAGTGGTGTATTAATTAAGCTAACAAATGTAATTCTTTCTGGTTCAGAAGGTTTCGGCGTTTGATCAACATCCGATTGGAGATTATTATTAATGTTACATCGTCTTCTTGTCAATGGTAAGGAATTACTTAGATTCAAATTGATTAAGGGCATTTTAACGACCGATACGGGTCGTTTATCCGATAATAATGGATCTTCTACTATATCTGTCATCATCGTATTTGTAGACTGTAAAAAATGAGGTGACCTGAACGACGGTGTAAGGACTTTTTCATGATTTACATCCTTGTTATTTTTAATTGTTGAAGTAATGTCTGGTACGTCATTATGACATGAAGGCTGAGAGTATATTTTATGAGGTAAACTATCACCAGGTAAATTTTTATCAATGTTCCCATCATTATTGGTAGAAAGATTCAATTCATTAGTGGAGATAATAGACATATTACACAATTCTTCATTAATTGGTAATGGTAATGGACATATGCTGCTTTGTACCTCCATATCTGAAACATCATGATGATGTCTGGGTGTACAACTTAATTCATTTTTTACAATCATCATTTCATCTAGACTAGAAATAGTAACTGATTCCAAGGAACTACATTTAGAGGATAACGTCCGACTATCAGCATCGTTATCTACTTCCATATTCGTGTTTTGTTGTTCATTGAACGATTCATGTTTAACTTTTAAACAAGAATCAGGTGATAATTCCATAGAAACATCACTTATCGATGTGACACTTTCCATATTATCGTTAATATTGCTACTGTTGTCATTGTTGTCATTTTTATAGTCATTATTATTATTATTATCATTGTTATTGATATCATTATTAGTATTAGCAAATTCATCTTCAACAGATATATTTGAGTTGAAACGACTGCAAATACAAAAAGACTTAATTAAATAAAAACGATTAAGATAAGACTTCGAAATACGTTCAAGAATTAGTTGACCTTCATTTTTAGAATAGCAAAAGCTAGTGAGTAACCATAAATAAGGAAATTGTAATCAATGTAAGGGGTGATCAGTAGATATTGTAAAACTATAGGAAATGAACCAAATGAGATTTGTGCAGCACATTTTTAATTACCTCCTTAACTATTGTAACTTCAGGTGCAACTGGATGGATAGTGTTGTGTACGTGAATGGACTTATACATTGCAACGATTCACAAAACTCCCGATTACTGCGACGAAACCATTAAATTATCTTAGTTTGTTTATACATTAATACCAATAAAGATTTTAAAAGTAGTAGGTAGTAATTTATCAAATGGTGCACGTCATCTGCCTTGTCGTTGAAATTTAGATGTTCCAAATACGTTTAATTTCTACTACATAACTTATTTTTCTATTGTTGAGACATTTTTTTCTATTAGCTCAGCCGATGTCCTGTTTAGAAATGTGGGTAGTAGGAACGTAATATCACTATGTAGATTAATTGCTCAAGTTTTGTATGATATATCAGTATGAAAAGGCGTTCTAAAGCATGGGTCGCATTGGTTATGTCTAGAAGAGATTTTCTGACAGTTACGAATTGCTAGTCAATGTGAGCAGTTTAAAAATATTAAACATTCACATATACCCTATTATACACTCTTATGAAACCGATCAACCTGTTTTTTGCATATTTGATCAAAATTTCTTCCGCTTTTGAAAATATTCATTACTCTAATGCTATATTTTACAGCTCTCACTAGCTATTACATTTCAGGTTTATTCACATGAATAGGAATTTCACATGGAATTCAACCAACAACTAGAACAATGCCAAACTCGCCGACACTCAAACTTTAAAAATACAGTGAACATTTGCAAATAAACGTACAAAACAAAATAATAATAAACGATATAAGTCTTGTGTAATTAACTTACCTAACACACATTTGAGAACCATCATCCTCGTCACCCAAAACAAAAACATATTGAGAGAATGAAACGCGTCTATTTAAACCCCTAGATGATACAATACCATCCTAATGAGAAAAAGGACATTGTATTGAAGTTATAATTTTTAAAAACTGACTTACAGATGCATCATTCACTGGATCGAATGTAAACTTTAATGACTGCAAAGAAACATATCACACAAAACGTATGTTACGCCTACCGATCTCCGAGGTTTTCTATCACCATTAGAATTAATCATCATTTATTGTTATTATTAAGTCAACCGGGAATCCGCGGAAAAACTGAGGAAAGATATATCTAGCAGTGGATGTCAGCCACGATCAGTAGTCAGCAGATTAAAGTGCACTAACAAGATACCGAGAGATTATCTACCTAAATATAAAGTTAAATCAAAAGACAATAATAATATGTTGAGATATGAGATAGTGACACATATAAATCTCATGAACAGCCACCAATTTCGAATGAAATGAATTCTTGATTAAGATTCAACCACTATGAAGCTTATATGACTAATGTGTTTGTTGGTTTCGCGCTTTCGTGAAGAGAATCTTATTAAGGAGAGAATGTTCCATTTGCGATCGATTAAAATCCTGACGGTCTGTAATCAGTCTGTCACTATTGCTTTTTTATAACCTAGTATTCCTGGACACTTAACGGATTTTAAAATCAAAACATAATTTGGCGAAAACGTGAACATATTTCAGAGCAAAAAGCAAAGTTAACCAGTCATATTTAAGTCTAAATTATCATAATTCATGAACAAAGTAGTTATCAATGGACATGAATCACAGTGCATTATATATTTAATGAAGATACCCCAAAATGTCCTGGTAGTGGCTAGAGACGTTATCAGATATGGCTCAGAATAGAAGCCAGTGGCGATCCTGCTGTAACCTTCTTTTACTTTCTTCATAAAAAGTGGTTGTGTCTCTCTTACCTGAAAGATTTCTTATGATTGTACCTTTCCGTTCCCTCATTTCTACCATACTACCTTACACCAATCTCCTCGTTATTGTTCTCTTTTTTTTGCGCCCTTTAGCCTTTTTTTTTCTATTTCTATTCGAATTCTTATTGTTGTGTGGCGCATATATATTGGCGCTTTCTTGTACCAATATTCATGTGTTCAAATAAATAAATAAATAAATAAAATGTCCTGGTACGGCCGAGAGTGGGAAGAGTCCGTTCTCCCTCGCCAAATGCTCTCACATGGCCACGCGTATATAGCTTCTGCCAGGGAAGTCCTACTCATTGCATTCTCGCACCACAAGTGTTGTTTACGAAATCGAGAGGACGAAAAGCGAAAGTCCGGTGCCTCAACCGGGTTGGTGGACACGGAGAGTCCACCTAGGAGAGTTGGAAAACTATCATTCCAAACCAATGGTGATCATGGGCTCCAGTATCCTGCGGGAACAAATGGAGTATGAACCAATCGTTGGTCACAGGCTACCATGAGATCGCATCTCCTTACGATGCTCAAATGCTTTGTGGATCAGACCTTCAGGTCAAAGGCTCCGGGTGTGCCACCACCCCCCCAAAGAAAACCACCTGGCTCGGTTTGGGCACCCGGGCAGTATCATAGCCCTCATACATATCAAATGAGATCTATGTAGCGCATATGTATTTGGTGCCTCCTTGTACCAGTATCTATGTGTTAAAATAAGTAAAATAAAAAATTAATGAAGATGCATCGAAAATAAAATAACGGACTCCATATTGTACAAAGCGATACATGTGAGAAGACAATGAAAGTGAATAAGGCTCATTTTAAATCAACTAGTGAATTCTAAATTCGATTTCTTCATAAATGTGGTATTCAAAGATTTCACATCCATAGGAGACAGAAGTTAAAACGGCGGTATCACACTTTGCTATATAACAGATACATTCGCGAACATCAATTACAAAATGTTGACTACATAATAGCAAGTGGTTAAACTGTCTAAATATACTATCAAAAAATTCCTTCGTAAATAAAAATAGAACCCTATCATCTTATTAGCTTTAAATCACGAAGCACAGATTGTGCACTTACTAAATTCTCAACTTTGCCCATTTATTTTTACCGTAAGAGTCGCCAAATGATTTTTATAACAAATGTACTGAAATATCATTTCATAAGGCCAGTCTCTTGACCAGCCATCAAACCCCTACAAATCCCGAAATTCGGAGACAGGCCCAACCCATAAACGCCCAAGAAGGCTTTAGTGTCACTGTCATTGAAGGTATGTAAATTTAACTCAGGATGACATGTTTGAAACCCATTCCAACCAAATTCATGTGATTAACCGGATAACACGACTAAGATGAAACTGCTAATTGTGAAATAGTTAAATACAACACGACAGTTTGGTACATTTTGCTCATGACTAGTAAACATAACGATTGCTACTTCCAATTCCATATTTATGAACATATAACGACATGAAAGCTCGTTCTGAAAGCATTATTATTTTACAATAATGTTTTTTTCATGCGAATACGAGCATATAACTATGAAATTAAGGCAATGAATGTTCCAGTCTGTTTATCGAAGACAAGAGCCAGACAGCATAACGAAATAAACAACTCATTGTCCGACATTATCTGAGTCACTGATTGAAAGCGACTCATCAAGCTACTGCTAATGAATAATCCAATTAACCAGTAATTAACAATGTCATTTTAGTGAAGATTCGGTAAAATTTGAAAAATGAAAACAAACATCCATATTACCAGTATGTGCATACACGTCAGGAACCAAAATAATTTATAACATTTTCGGAAAAAAAATCGAATTGCCTTCATACTAATAATCAGTAAATTGAGGTTCAGACACTACATTATTTTCAACAAAAACTTTAGTGGACAGCTGATTAAAACAAAAAATGGCATCTTTAACAACACTAGGTTTCCATTTTCAGATCCGATATTTAAACAGTAAGCTTACCTCAAACAGCACCTGGAGAACTAAATATATATGACGATGAGAACCATTAGCTCCTAAAAGCGAAACAATACGACACTAAGCAACCGAAGACGCGCCAAACTCGGACCGCCCGCGAGTGATGTAACATACAAATACCGATATAACAAAAGCATGAAAATCCAAGCTTTAGAAAAAATGAAAAGATCTTCAGCAAAAATTATTTTTTTTAAATCGCAAGGCCAACGTATATTTTTGCGTACAGTCAAAGAACGTATGTTAAGGGTTTCAAGCTTGCTTCAATGAAGTTCTTCAGACGTTATTTAAATACAGATGGAGCTATATTACACTTGCAGAGCACTCTGTTATGTAAATACGATGTTTTGAGTAGAAAAATATCGGCTGTTTAATGGCTAAAATAATCATGATAGACAATTGTTTCAAATGAGGTTTTCATTTCATGTCTTATCGCAAGTAAAAGTACAGAGTATTCATACCATTTACATTTTACTTCTACAACTGAATTACACTACACTTCTATGAAGATATTATGTATTGCTTTCGAAGTCATGGGCTACAAGCTGTGCACAGAGAACTCTTTACGTTATTTTTGTTTACCTTCAAGGTATTTTAGGAAGTTTTGAGTTTGTATATTACTCATATAATCTCAAACGACGAATCTATCATTGCATTGATGTCATTTGTTCGTTTCTAAGTCAAGCATGATTGATTTGGTCATAGCCCGGTTTGATGGACAAATGATATTGGCACGCAGATTTCTCGCACGATATGAGACGCTTAGACTGTAGTTAAAAGAGCTACCATGTAGCTACCGAAGAATATACACGGACAATCAAAGAAGTTCAACGAACGTAATAAAAACGCATTATGTGTTTTTTGAGTTTTTGTTGTGTCAAATACTCTCTTTTTAGTTACGTTGGAATGCCATTCATGGAATCTGAAAGCTCGATTCTTACAACTCATAAAAATCTAATCGAAAACAATATTGTTCGCTTATGTCTATGTTGTTCTAAATGTGAAATGATCTACAAATTATTCATAGATAATAAACCTGTATGGAGCGCTCTCATAACGCTTATAATAAATTAACTTACTTTGGTGATGAATAACATCTAAAATTTGTTTGTTTTGATGCACAACATGGTGGGAGCGTTTTTTTATCAAAACTTTTAGGTGGAATTTCTGTACTGTGAATTATTTGATGTATATTTTCACGAGTCAAACGGCTATTCACACAGTCAACGGCTCACGTTCTGCCAAGTAAGAACCGCGCTACTAAAAAATCACAACTAGTGATAGCTGGTAATAATTGTTTGTGTTTAGGGGAGGAATTGGGAAGGAGACCAGAAACCACCTAAGTTGGGTGGTTAAGAATTAACCGAAACGTCCCGAAAATTTCAAAATATTGTCTCAAAGATTAATTTAACTTATTATTTTGTGTAAGCAATATATTTCCTATTATTCCGTGTTGAATGGTGAAGGTTTTGTGTGTTTGAATTTGGAACTCCTTTCTACGAATGGTCCGTTCCATCACCAGTCTAACCTTTTACATATATACAATGAGGGGTAATTATAAGAATCAAAGATCTACTATCGTTTGCTTAACAAGCAATTGGAATTATTCTGCTGAGATAATGAAACGAGGTTCATGTTTGATATCTATAAGCTTAAAAATGTGTACGTGTTTCATTAAGGTAGACTGATAGAAAAACATCTGTCTAGTTTAGTGACATACTCATCATGCAAGAATGAGGATTTTATTCCAACTATGTGTTTTCATTACATCAAATCCTATGTAGATACACTCTTAGCTCAACTGTCTCAGATCATTTTTGGATGATCGTTACTGAATTATTGAAAATAACTCAAAGACATCAGCACCTAAGAGAGAGTGATTAGTGGTTTAAACAAGGGAGCGTGTTGGGGCTTCTTATTCATAAGGTACTAAAAAGACTTTGTAGCTGCTTCAACATGAGGAAGATTTTCTTTCTGCTGGTGAACTAAAGGTAATCTACTCATGCCGCAGATACGATGTAAATAAAACCATTAAGTTTATGTAGCAGGAATCATACTGGATGGTAGTATGATATAGAAAGTACCATCTTCCGTTTGATATTAACGACGCGTGTGAATCCGTGTTGGAAGCAGGATATTAGTACTCCATTTCGAAGTGGATGGTTTGACAATATCCGAATCTGAAACTATTTTAAACCCTAGTTCATGATACTCAAATAGCATCAATCAGCTCGTATGTAATCCATACTTTCGTCAAAATTGGACCCAGCTTAATACTATATAAGGTCTGTGTCATCCAGTGCTTGAACACTGTCCGTTTATGCCTGGCAGCCTTCGTATAATCAACAAGATGGAGATCTAAGGAATATTCTGTTTGTAACAGTACTATTCCCGAGCAGTTGCATGCCTGATCTTCCGTACCTCTAGGTTGCCCTAGCTCTACTGAAGAAGAAACCAGATTAGTAGTGAATACGTCCTTAATTTTAAGTCCTGGGAAGGTGCGAGACTACCTTTTTAAACACACAAAGCCTTTCATTATCTATTGTGAGAATATGTAATCTCTATACAAAATAAAGAAGTGAATGAATAATTGAGCTTTCTCGTTTAGACATTTACTTGGATGTTTTCAGTCAACTATTAACAAATCTACCTGGGTTGTTACATTAGCTTCCTCCTACAATAGACTTCTGTAGGAACGTTGGTCCAATCAACTTACCCAACAAGAACACCCCCGTTCTATTTCTTCAACTTAGAAGAGAATTAGTAACTTTCAGGCAATAGCGACCAACGCCGTGTAAGTATTCGGCGATACTCCATGACCGAAATATACTTGAGTACCTTTTTACCTTATTTCATAGCAATTCATTTGCACGAATTGTTGCTTATGACTTTCTGAACATGTCCTCTGTATGAGGATCAGAGCTTTTAAGGGAATGTAGGGTAAGAAAACGAAACAAGAATATTTGAGTGGACTACCCAACAACAAGCTGCTTCGGTGCAGCTTTCAAATGCTCTGTCCTGATATTAGGTGTTTACTCACCTACCTCTTGGGTCACCCTCAAGTCAAAAACAAAGGAGGCTCTGTAGAGTTATCCGTCATATATTAGTCATTGTTACGATGCAATGAGTTGGTGTAGACAATGACGTGACTTCTACGTAAGATCTTATAAATCAGGCAGTTACATCATAAAAATTCTGCAATTTTAGGGTTAAGTCTATTATTAAAGTAATACTAATATCGAAGTAGACCATAATTCTACAAGTCTACTTCGAAGAAGAAAATATTTAAAGTCAGTCAAACCTCAGGAATTGATCCACTATTTGTATAAAATAGTTAGGTACAAAATAGAAGGGTACAAATACGAGTGATAAGGGTTCTTTTCTCCATAAGTCTTTGGTTTTCATAACGGATTGGCAATCTTGAAGGAAATAGACACAGTGTAGACATCTTGTGAGCGAAAACGTATTAAAACAGAAATTTCCTTTTCCAAAATATGTGTGTAAATGTGTGAACCCGTCAGAAGTTGAATTTACTACCGAACTTGGTCAAATATATGGCTTGAGTCTGAGACAACCGCCTTCTATGATCGGTTCGTAACAAGGAATACAGCAGTGTTTTCTGACAAGGAAAGTTAGAACACATGAGTAAGAGAAAATATAAATACAGAGTCCAAATATCGGGTAGGCTTCTAAGAGTCAGCGACAAAACTGGAGCCTTACAGATCACCGATTGATTGGCTTGATGTAAATATGCAGGGTGATCTTATCCGCAACGCAACCATGTAAACTTAACGTATCGCACGCTGTCATTTGTGCGTTCAAGTAACCACAGGTTTTGTCATTTCATAATGTATTTTTAATTAAATAACTAGATTATGTAGTTAATTTCGCTCTGTTTTTAATTTTTATTCGCCACATCTGACTGCGTTACACTGTACGTTCATTACACGCTGGGATGATACTTCAAGTCATAGTGAGTTTATTCACATAGTTGGTTGTTTCCGGATAGACTGTCAGTGCATGATTTTACTGAAGAAAGGTTTGTTGGACTGTAAACTATGTTTCTATGAACAACTGCCTGTTGTCTTCAGTATGAAAGCAGTATATATGTAACCTTTTTTTCTTAGGTAAGTTCAACTGGGCTATATTTCCTGTTTTAGTTTTATCGGCTTAATTATGTCCATTTAACTACTTTGAGCAACATGTCTTTGCAAGTGAAACAATAACTATGACAATTGCTTAGTTTAGTGTTCGTGGTTGTCGTATAATTCAGTTTAGTTGAAAGAATTATGATATACTTAAGTATAGTGCTTGAAGCCTGTAACGAAACAGATCAGTTTAGTAAGTAGAGTTGCCTGTTTCTAATGTGTATACGGATTCAGATCAGTCTGATTAAAAATAGGAAAAAACGTGCCTTTGATGCTGTTGCTGTCATACATTATAAGATAGCGATAAGTATGTTTGGTGTTTATTTCTAAACTGTACATCTATCACTGACAATATTTCATGATAACTGTCACTAAACAATTTCCTCAGCAATAACATCGGTAGCAAGATAGCTAAGTGTCTGAGCTTTTAGTTGCCCGCAAAACAGCAGTATACAGTCTTAGAAGATGAGTGTTCTGTGTCTCAATTAAATGCAACTGGCTGTGGGCAAATGTTAAGAATCTTTTTGACAACTGGGACTTTTATTTTATCAGACACTTACTCTGCTTGTATGTTCTCCTGTTAAACTAGACGCAGATGCATGGGAATACTTAAATGGAAGCAAAATAATAAAAACATTGCAATACGGTACTAAGCCCATGTTATGCTTTGCGCAAGTAATAGTAGCTGACCTTATCTAATATTCATGAACTTAAGGTAAATCACAACTGCATAAATTCTTTGCTAAAAAAACATGTGATTTGGTTATTTATATATTCCACATTTCTGACTAAATTCATCAATATTTTTTCATTTAGAATGCAACAGTAGTGAGCCTTCACAGACCCTAAAAACTGTTTCGCCCTTGGAACTATGGCCCTATGGAACTGATTACGGGAGACCCAACGAATAGCAGATTATAAAAAGGATGCTGGACTTCCATTTTAGTCTCACAACCACTTCCAGTATTTTTTGACTTCTTTTACTCTTTCGTTTGGAAAAAACAACAAAAACTGCAGCTTAACGTTACTAGTATAACTTTTAAACGGGAACTTGGTTTAAACCTTTGTTTGATATTCGATTCTTGATAAAAGTTCTTGAATAAATTTTTGAATCTAATGCTACTTTGTTTTATCTACTTAATCGTCGCAAGAAACTTGTGATAAGCGAGCCTCTCAGCACCTAGTTCATGTGTTCAAATGGTTGTGGACTGAATAGAAGAAGCTTTCGCTTAACAGGCTTCCGCGTCTAGTAGCAGGGGATCACCAATACCTCAAGGCAGGAAACTAGGTATGTTAACAATAAAAGAAATTGGTAAATCATAGTATGATACTATACTTAGTCCTTAAGAATAAATCCAGTTGCCTCTTAAAGCAATTTTATTATTCAAAAGTAAGATATAACAGTTAAAATTAGAGTAAAATGGCAGTATACAGCAGATGCACGTGGTACATGTCTTCATCGATTAACTGAAATAGAGAATACGGATATTAGCTTAACAAGCTTATTTAGAAAGACTAGTGTCTAATTTGAACTTACTGCGTGAGAAAGTTATACTACAACTACGAATGTTGTAGAAATAGAGTTTCTCGGGTCGTACGAAGCACTCAGACTGTAAGACAGTTGTCCAAAAATAATTCGAATATGAAGGTGAAAATTTGCAGGTACCAGTTGACATCATACCGTAAGAAAACACAAATTTGCGAGTGGTGAAATATAATCTATAAAAAAGTGAGCTTAATAACAGTTAATTACCTTTTTACTCCCTGATCATGACCCTTCGGCTTCCTTTTATGGCCAAAACAGAAAACATACACTAGACACTGGTAGCAGATTTCCGGCTTTTCAATGTTAAGCTTGCTTTAACGCACTGAGTAATGGGTACAACCCCTCTATTACTGTCATATGGCATATTTTTCATAACAAACCCCCTACAATAGATTGGTAGCATCTGTGACTTCACCTATAGTTGTCGGAAGTCTGGGTTTTTTCGAAATCAGTACCGATATACCCTACTGCTGGGCACTCTGTATTAGTTTGACTCGTTGGTGGGATAGTGTTGTCCATAAAACTGAAGAAAATTGAAAAAACTCAGATTGTTTCCTTTCATTTTGCCGATAACATCATAAAGGACAGTTGGGAACGAACATGCGGACAGTTAGTCACAGGCGGCAGCAACAATTATTTTAGCTAAATAAAAACGAACTTTGGCTTCGGATATCTAGAAAACAAGGTAAAACATAACCGATTGTCGTTTAAAAACGTAAGGTCTTATGTTAGTACTAGCCAGCTTAGCTGAATAAATACAGTGACTTCATTAGCAGCAGATAAAACCCAGAAAACAAAGCAAAATCAGGAAGAACTTTGCTCCAACGTTCAGAGTATTACACTAACTTCTGGATTTTAGCACACTGAAACATCAAATTCTGTAGCTACACAAAAGAAATAGCTGAAAAAACACAGAACGAAGAAAGCCGGCCGACATTTTATAACACAAGACTAGCCAGATTGCCTGAAGAAATACATTGACTTGAGTAGAAGCAGCAAAAACCCAGAAAACATCGCTGATTCGAAATAAACTTCACACCAACATATAGAACATTACACTAACTGCGGCATTTTAGCACACTGAGACATTAAATTACATAGCTACACAATAGAATTAGCTGAAAGAAGCACAGAAAGAAGAAAGCCGACCGCCATTGCTTACAAAGATGGCGGATGTAACAATTCCCGCCTCATTCTGATTGGTTGCTAAGCTGAAGGGCACATTTACGAAATTGAGTTGCGTTTAATTGCAGCCAAATATGCATGTTATGGTAAGGATATATTCTATAAATTCACCTAGTAATCGAGTCGGTTTGTACCTTAGAAGTGTGCAAGTTCCACTAGTCATGACTATCGTTAATAATAGACCGATGTAAGGAAATATTGCAGTCAATTCCACTACGGTCCGGTGAGGTCTATTGGTCAAATGAGGGTTCAGTGCTTCTGTTCACAAAACCCATATCCATAACTCGCTGGCTGCAAGTTTTCCGGACATAATAAGTAAATGCAAGGATGCGTTTTTGCACCAAATTATCCTAACAAGTTGCACCGGGACGCATAGTGTTAACCGGTGGCTGGCCGCTTAAAGCATGAACAGCCCAGATATTTTCTGTTTATAATGATGATAAACAGCACAGCAAGGCTCCGCTTCAGGCCTTCTAAGTTTGAGACTATTTATATGATTGCCTTCTTAATGTCAAGCTTCAGCTGCTGATCTACACTGAAGGCTTCAAAATTGACGAATAATCGACAGAGGCGATGTTTGTGCACTTATGGCTGACCGAAAAGTTCTGGTATGCTGGTTTAAACTATGGTTAATATTTATGAATGAAACCGAATAATTCTGCATACGCACTGAAGAAACATACGTCAGTGACGTTAACATAGGAGATGATACAAAGCATTTAGTGATATCGTAGAATGATCTGGAGATAATGGTCTTAATAAACAAAGGACACTGTCATTGAACTGTAATCAAAGGTTTTAAAAATGTATAGAAGTTAGGAAGAGCATTCACTCGTTTATAGATGGACATATCAAGCTAATAAGGTCTAATTAGAAAGTGGAATGCCAGTCAGGATGCCAATTTTCGAAAAGTAGACTCAATTCTCTATAAAATGTGCGGTGGACAAGTGCTGAAAGAATTCTCGTGATACGTCTCTTACTATTTACATAACGACTTGAAAAGCTGGACCTCTATGACTTATGTAAGCTCAGAAATTGGAGTAATTTAATTTCTGTGTGTAAAACAAGAAAAAATGACTTTGAATTTGGTGAAACCTCTCTCTTTCTTTTAGCTTAGTCAGAACAAACCAGATGATATATCTGGATGGTTCAAATAGTAAGAGAGATGAGTAACCATAGAATACAGGATTCCTCATCAAGAATTCAGCTTCTGGGCCTCACTGTTAGAAGACTAGGATTTTTGTTATCGTCAACTAATCAAAGAAGATGAATACATGATGGAATTGAAATACATATACTGCTTACTATTTCTTCTGTCCTTCAACTACGACAGTGTTTACTAGATGAACACTACACACATTCATTTAGCGCACAAGTAAAGCGAAAGAAATGAGAACTGAGGATGCAGCAGTACACTTTTTGAAGTATCTGTGTATAAATATTGCCAATGTATAAAATACAGAGATGCAAGAGGATAGGCAACTAACAGAATATGAGTACACAGACAAACACGCACCAAGAACTCACAAATCGTTCAAGGGCAGCAGACAACGATAATCAAGACCAGAAATGTGGGTGATAGCATAACTGCAAGGATTAGGATAATTTACTCAGGCGTTATAAGATGTCGTCGGTCATTACATGGACCACATATCAAGTCAATTAATTCGGAAGAAAACAAGACATTTGCACAAACTTTCCGGAAAAGGAATAACACAAGCAATCGAGTTTTTTGCGGATAATTGAGAAGTACGGGAGTTGAATCTGGATTTTGCCCGTTCATTATTGAGGTTCAGTGTTTGAGCGCCAAATTCTACTGCAAGGTTGTGGAGGCTTTTTGACTTAGTATCCGGAGGTAGATGTCATTTTCTTCTTTCACGTGCAATAAAATTATAAAATGATCTAAGTATGTGATATCAATTTAATAAATATATAGCACAGTACCATTTGTCTGACTGTTAGCGTTAGGGAACTGCGAAAAATCACGTGGTTAAGTTGGTTAATCGGACTCAATCAGTGTTATATACGGGTCTTGACCTATCGTTATTTGTCTAGCCATTTTATGCAAGTTCAAAGTAATCCTTATTATGCCTTTTCCACCACTTACATAAAAACGTTCGACTCGAACCTCTACATTGCTCTTCACGAGACAACTAACAACGATTCGTACATGAAAGAGCTAATGTCCAAGTAACGTCTCACACTCTTTACTACTTGTCAGCCAACGCGACTATATCCCTCATTGTACAGCTTCAAATGGTGGCTCGTAAACTTTTTTCACACCCATAGCTTGCCGTCCTTCACCTGGAACAGCTATACCTGACGCGTATTATACCTTATCATTACTATATCATAGTCATTATCATTGGTTAACATATGGTCACCTCATCTCATATCAGCTTCATTTATCCGTTATCTTCAGACTTCTGCCTGTTCACATTGTTTGCGTGAACTTATCCTAATCGTTGTCTTCTCTTCTACATAATCTGATCTTATAGTTTTTCGTGTTGCAATTACATAATTTATTGTCCGGTGATATAATAGCTGCTGGTCGTAGCAACTCCACTGGCTTAGAACAAACGCGCTTATATATACATACGAAAAATTAGCAATCATATTCGCTAGGATTAGTTCAATCGAGTGGGTAGAATACACAAATAGGACTGTGACAAATAATTGGGATTGTACTGTAACATTGCGGAGTTGACCCAAATATGTCAGTTGATCTTCACAAGCTCATCTCAAAGTATTTGTTTCTATATCTCTCAATCTGCGCTTATTAGTCGTCCATTGTAAGTTTTTCATATGCACTTTTTAAACTCATTCGCTTCTGTAAGACAGCCGCGTGATTATATATGACCACATCTTTCTTAAATGAACCTAAGAATAATGTTGAATACCTAAGCAACACCCACTCATAACTTGAAACTGATTTCCGAATTAGTGGTTGATTGGGCCAAACTATTTTACTAAGTTATAGATACTCAGAGTTCTTGTTTGGTAGGATTTGGGCTTCGTTTTTAAAGAGGGGATTTTTCTACCGTAGCAAGATACTATATACAACCTTTTGATATCAGCAGCTTTAGGATTTTAAAGTTGATAAATTGGGTATTTACTAGCTAATTGAACCTTACCCACCGCTGATGTAAATGATATAGGTTTAAACTATCTAGCGTTATTTTCATGATCTGCGATAGTTCGTTACTTTGGATCTTTAATTTATATAAGAATCCATTCAATACTAAATAGTGGTAAATACGTGTATCCGACAGCAAGTACGTGGGTAATTCGGAGTCATGTCATCAAAACCTAACCACTGATCACAGTCATCACATGAATCTCAAACAGGTAATCTGCATTTATCAAAACGGCTCAGATTAAAGGCTTTTGTAAGTACTGAGGACTCCGGTGTTCATAACATCCTTATGGGTTGAAAGTCTTCTTCATCTAACAGCTGCTGGAAGTTTTTTTTAACTTACCTGGACCATTCTTACTAAGATGCCTTATGGTTGAAAAACTGCGGTCGTTGGCACGACAAGCAGTCATCATATAGTTACTGAATGCTAAACACAAAACTTAGGATATTAGTTTAAATAGGTGATTACTACAGAGATTTTAACCATCTTTCTACGTTACCTAGCTGCTGAATATCAATTCAAATAAGCGGATGTCCAGAAGAAACTACTGGTAAGAAGCTATAGGTCTCTGTATTTAAAAGACCCACAAACGACTGTAAAAGAATGTATGGTAGTGTTATCAGGAAGCTCACTGTATTGTGTAAGGAGGCGCGGTAGGCTTCAAGTGTTTAAACCTCTTACAGATCCCTACATGGTGTATGGAGTAATTATCAGGGCGTAAGTCTATTTATTACCAGTTGCATTTAGAATGCTGGCTACGTTAATATTCAGTAAATTGTGCAAAACTCGTACATATCATAAGCGATCGGTGGTCCGGCTAGTTTTCTTATCTTGGATGTGTTCATCATGTTTCGTTGCTTTTAGGTGACCTGACACTGCCATACATCAGGTTTGCCTTCAGCCGGTTGGACAGGAATGTAGTCTGGAATTATTTATTAAAGCTGTGCTAGTGATCTTTATTCAGGCGCACTTCAGTAGCTTAAAATCATACAACCACCTCTTTGCACTGTCATAAACTGACGTTAGTTAAAGTCATAACATATATAGGTACTTTTACTTATCGTTAATTGAACATTTCCATTTTCTATTCACTTTATCTAGTTACAGATCACCAATTTGATTGATAATACATTTGGATATATTTAATAATCACATTAATATGCTCACCTAAAACTGATAAATTGTTTTATACATATAATATTATGCTTCATGTTTACGATACGAACAATGATGACAACAGTGGTCATCCTAAACCTTCAAGAAAAAATCAGCTGAATTGTCATGGCATTTTTGTAACCAGTGAAGATTTAAATAATTCACGTAAGCTTCCTTTTTATATTGATTAAATATTGGATTCTAGTAGATAATTCAGACGTTTTTGAATATCTAGTCATTATTAGTCGAAAAATCAGAGGGTTTTTATGATATGACTCGGAATCAACCAGCTATGTAGATCCGTATACCATTTTGCAAAATAATACCACCTTGGCTTAGACGTTGTCATAAACTTCTCACACATTGCTATTACGCTAGTCAAAGTTACGCAGCGAGATAATGAAGTCATCATGTACTGCTGTTGTTATAGCTGATCCAGTTAATATTTGTCTGAAGTATATTCAGAGACTTGGATGTTTTCGTATCAAGGTCACTGCTTAACCTCATCACTAATTACTTGATAACTCTAATGCTGGTAAGAGATCCTAGTAATTGTATTCGTAATCTAAAATATATAGCCTTGCTTCATTTCCCTTCAAGTGTATTATCTTACAAGTTCCAAAAAAATACACTTCTGTTCTGAATTGCACATTTCAGTCGGAGGTGTCATATATACGAAAAGTATTGATAGTTAAAATACACTTTAGATTTACATTAGTGAGCCGTTGCTTCAGGACTGGCCTGCGTCAACATCTGAACTAAGGATAGGGAGTAAAGTAGTCGAACGCGTCGACAACTTCACTTATCTTGGAAGTCTAATCAGCCATAATGGGTTGGTACCTGACGAAATCTCAGCACGGATTCAAAAAGCTCGTTTGCTTTTGCCAACTTACGTCACCTATAGTGAAGGCGAAATATTTGTCTACCAATAAAGGGACGAGTATACTGCGCAGCAGTTCGTTCTGTTCTACTTTACGGCTGCGAAACGTGGCCATTAACAGTAGAAGATACTCGTAAGCTATTAGTATTTCATCACAAATGTCTTAGAAATATTGCCAATGTCTTCTGGGATCACCGGGTAAGTATATGTGAGGTCAGATGCAGGGCATTAGGGAATGACGGTAGATAAGTTGAGGTTGCAAATCTTCACCGATTGAGATGGTTGGGCCATGTGTTACGTATGCCTGAACACCGATTACCACGACGTGCAATGCTGAATAGTGTTGGGAATGGTCGGAAGAAAGGGGCGGCCAAACCAAAACGTGGCATCAGTCCATAAAGTAACTGACTTCTAGTTTGAGCTGCTGCTTCCAGCTCATTAGCACGCCCCGACCACAAGGTTTCTCGGTCCTTGCGCAAGCTTCGCTCAATTTCATTACTTAACAGTCGTCGTTTGTGGTCAAACTCAGGGTTACCCGGAGTAGATCGGCGGGCTTCAATGAGTTGTAAGGAACCAGAAGAAACCTAGTGCTTATAAGCGGGACGTTTCGCGAAGCTGCAAGCGGCTTTACTCGCCATTTTGATGGCGTCTTGAAGTTGCAAACAATGCTCATCTATACTTTTCGGTGGAATGGTAGATAGCCTAGAAGCTAGCTCGGTTCGATACTTAGTTGCAACCAACTTGCTGACATCAGTCCTTTAGTGGCGGTCATTTCGTTGGCCACTGAAAAGTAAGGTAAGATTGGCGCAGAGCAGGGTATTATCAGAGTCTAGATAGGTACTCCAAAAGGAGCGGCAGTCTTGTACACAACCATACCGGTGGTAGCTGATCGCGATGTGATCAATCTGAGTCCAGGCTTGAGATGCAGAGGGAGGACGCCAGGTGGCATATCGGCGATGACTGTGCCGAGAGTTGGTGCTAGCCAGAAACAGCTCGTGGTCTGTGCACAGTTGCAGTAGGCGGTTTCCGTCATCTGTCCTGCGACCAACAAGTCCCCATCGGACACCTAAACGACTCTCTTCTGTGCCTAGACGCTCGACCTGAGCATTCAAGTCTCCGGCTAGTACTACAATATCTGTCGAACGCACTTTCTGGAGAACAGATAACTGGTGGTAAAACTCACCCTTGATTGCATCCGGGCTGCAGTCTGTCGGGGCATAGGCGGAGATGACGAAAAGACATCGTTTCTCACTCCGATTTCTTTTCACTTTGATGGAACTTTCTAATCTAACAGCACATAACTGACTGTTAATGGGGATCCAATCGATAAGTGCTGCCTCAGCTCTAGCGCTTAGTGCGACACCAACGCCAGCGAGACCAGACAAAGATGCTACAGGGTCCCCGGATAAACGCACGTAAAACAAGCTTTTCGAAGTGACAGATGAAGAGCGAATTTGTAGTACTTCACCAGTCTTGAATACGGGTATCGAATAGACATCAAACGTCGATACTAAGACTTTCTAAAGACATAGCCAGCCCTATCTGTTGTCCGACCTGCATAAGTGTGCGAACGTTGAAGGCAGCCAGTTTGAATGGTGCACGTGGTTTCAGAAAAACTGCTTCAGTCCTCGTATTCGGTGGTAACATACACTTTTCAACCGGACAGTGACTCGAGAACGTTTAGATACAGTCGAATTTCCACCAAAGACGAGCCGCTGTAGAAGTCGAAAAATAAGGATACATAAAGTGGGAATAAAAGAGAGTGAATAAATTACGTAGTAAATAATAATAATAATAATAATAATAATAATAATAATAATAATAATAATAATAATAATGTGAATTGTTTGACTGTAAATCGAAGGGAGAATAGAGTTTTCAGTAAATACCACCATTTTCATTATCATTATATTTGTGTGTGGGCTGTGATACTGCCCGGGTGCCCAGACCGAAGCAGGTAGTTTTCTCATGGGGCTACACCGAGCTGTTGTTGTAACTTTGACCGATGCATATATGTACCTGACCCTACGTTGTAGCTGACTGACTGGCTGACATTAGTGAGCTCTACCTACACCTTCACTGACTACAGCTCTAATGACGAAAACTTTGACTTTCATAAGAAGCTTTCTGACCAAAAGTTAAATAATCAGATGTAGTAATAGCAGTAGACGATTTCAGTATACAAGTGGGTAAGTTAATCTAAACCGAAAACACTTAATCGGGTCTTACGATGTTCTTACCCAGCGAACATAACGGCTTCTGTCTGATACAGCTGTTCTCAGGCAATAATTCATATATAGTAATCACCAACTTTGGACATAGACTTTTTTAAATAGCAATTCCTGAAATCGATTCAATAATGGATGCAACTAGACCATATCACCATCACCTATCGATGGAAGACTTCGATTCGTTCTGCAACACACGTCTCAGTCAGTCACAACGTAGAACCTGTACGTATGTACATCAGTTCAACTTGCCAAAACCCCTTTAGCACACCGAGATAAAGTTGTCAGGCCAAATCTCAGAATAGTAGAGGCAGTAACAATATCAGTGGTAATAAGGAAGATTGGGCATCGAAGGTACAACTGGAAAAGGAAATGTAAATTAGCAAAATAAAAACAAATGTTATGAGGAGTTTGTAATCTCAGGATTTGGGGGAAGACGAAGAATGATAAACCTGCGCCATTGCAAACGACTTCGAACAATGTCATTCAAAGTCTCTAACCATAGGTTACGATGATCACGCGGCTCCAAACCAGGCAGTCTGCACTCATTGACATGGCTAAGTCCAATTATCAGTGACTTCATGGACTGATGCCATGTTTTGGTTTGATCACCACTGGCTTCCAGCTTACTACTACACCATACAGCATCGCCCGTCGAGGTAGGCCGTAGTTGAGCATATATAACATATCCCAACCATCTCAGTTGATGAAGATTTGCTACCTCATCAATCGATTTACCATATTTGGCTGGTACTATATTACTAACCCAGGCACTGCTTAATCTGTGGGCCAAAAGCACACAAGCAATGCTTCGAAGACACCTATGATTGAATACCAGCAATCTACAAATATCCTCTGTTCTTAATGTCCGTTTCACACCCATAAAGTAGGACGTTGATTCCTGCTGAGCAGTAAACTAGTCATTTGTTTGGCAAATGGATATCTCACCTACACCACAAGTGACACAAGTGGGTGGAGGCCAATCGAACCTGCTGAATCCATGCCGATATTTTGTTAGACACTAGACCATCTGTACTGATGAAGCGCCTAAGATAAATGAAGAGATCAATGCGTTCAATTACTTCACTCTCTACCATTATTTAAAGCGGTGACCCAAACCAATGCTGAAATAAAATTTTACATTTAGAGGGAGAGAACCGCATCCCAAACATGTTTGCATTGTTGCTTACAGTGATCAGAAGACTGCATTTGTCAGCGACTTCACCAAACAGAACTATATAATCTGCGTACTACAAATTAACAAGTGAATCTGCTGGTAGAAGACTAATTCCTGAAAAGCCAGACGACCAAAGTGTTATCTCTAAAAGCATGTCCATGACAAAGTTAAGTAAATGTGGGGAAAGCAGACAACCGTGACAAACTATACTTGAAGTAACTAATTCCGATGACAGTTCGCCATAAGGTCTGACTCCACTAGTAGTGTTCGATTAGAGGGCCTATACAGGGTTAATGTACTTTTTTGGTAAGTCTTTCAATGACAGGTGTTGCTACTGAACCTCACGATCAACTCAGTCGAACCCCACCTTTAGGTGAAGGAATACAACTATATTTGGATGTCTGTGTTCCAAAATTTGCCTAAGGGTGAATATTTGCTCTATTCATCGACATCCAGGTCTGAAATAATTCTGGTTTTCTTGGGTTTGCTCTTTTCAAGCTTTAGTCAGACGTCGAAATATCATTTAGGTTAATATTTTAGACATTATATTAGTTAAATTGATTCCTCCGTGACTGTCACAGGATGATTTTCGTCTTTTATGAAATGAGACGATCATTGATCGAGACCAGTCATATAGGATTACATCCAATTCCCAGATTTCAGGTAATCTGACTGCCAAAACTGAACCACCATCCTTAAAAATCCCGGGGGTTCGTCCATGAGGCCCTGCTACTCTCCCTCACTTGAGATTATTTATAACCTTTTCAACCCCACTAATAGTTGAAGGACTTACATCAGTTTGCCATTCGGGTTGCTTGGAGATAGTGGGTAACTGAAGTGTTTTTGAGGACCAGTTGAACTGTTCCCTAATGTGTTCTGCCCTTCGGTTCAATCTACTGGACTGAGAGTGAATAATAGTCCCATCTTATTTCGAGATACTTTCACTAACAGCCGCATTTTTAATACCCTTTGTGGATATCATCCCAAGCTACCTCGGGTTGGGTGTCATTTTCACGGTGGACTGGCTCCTTCCCTAGTTCCTGAAATATTTTCTTAACTTTTTTCATAATTACTTTGGGCTCTAAGGAGTGTTCTCACTGCGGCTTTTCTATGTCTAGTAAGTCGCAGACAAATACGTACTCGAACTAGTGTATGATCCGTGTGCAAACATGTGCTTTATGATGAGCGACAGTTTTCAATTGAGCTCCTCTAACGATTGCTAACGGCAGTGTGGTCTGTTTGAGTCGATTGTAGAGGTCGTCACGTCAGTTGATGTTTCTCCTTGTGTTTTCCAGAGGTAAATGGTTATCTAAAGGTATTTACAACAGACGGTCTCCATTATCTGTCCGCTGAGCCTTAACACCGTAATATGCGTCTAATTGTCTTTGGGTTTGATTTAGTTTACCTATTTTTGCATTAAAACCACCTAACATTACTAATAAATCAGAGCATTTAACCTTTTGAAGGAAGTTGGACAGTTTCCTATAAAATTCATTCTCAACTTCGTAAACAGATACGAAGAAAAGGCAGCGGCGTGTATTCCTATCTTTTTGAGTCCTTACTGTCCCGTTTGGTCGGACAGTGCACAAGCGATTGTCTATTGGAACCTGTTCAGCTTCCGAATTCAATTCTGTACCCACACCATCGAGTCTACAGGAAGTACCAGTGGAGTCTAGATACTCAAAAGGTAAATTGTGCCCGTTCTCTATATTGACAAGATCAGGCCAAATGAATGACCGTAATTGAGTCCTGTACATGCGTTTCGTTGATACAGCATACATCGATGGCCCGAGATTCCAGAGTTGTAGCCGAAGAAACCTGTTTTCCTACCGGACACAAGGTCCGGACTCTAAAAGCTCCAACATGTAGTTTAGAGCGTGGTTTCAGGAAACCAAGAGCAACATTTCGTGAGCTCAAACCACTAGAATTAGTGGCGCGTGGTTATAAAGATAAATGAGAAGAGTTAATCTTGCGGATGGGAGAATTATTAAGGGGTGAGAGAGGGATTCAATCGCCAACAAGATGATCTCGGGTGCTGACAGGGGTATGAGAATGGTTTTCCTTTCCCGGTCGCCCACATCTTGGAAAGATATTTCTTCTTGAGGGATTTGAAAAAAAGCTGAACTCATCGTGGTCTCAGTGACTTGGTAGCGTGACCGCAGAACTCAAGGAACAACTGCTTGGAGCTGGTTGTACACAGCCTTGTTATGGTAGGTTTTTGATGTATTAGCTCCACACTTTAAAAGGCCTTACCGTCGGAAATGGAAATTCATGGAGTAAGGTGAGGTGTGACATTTTCAGGCTCGACCTTTTCTAACCTCTTTCTTCCTCTATGGGAAGGCACCTTCGCTGGAGATGTTGATTGTCCGAGGGAATCACCTTACTGCCGTCACACTTCTCTATAGTTAGCAGTATGACTCCGCTCTCGGTCCTCAATTTTCTGCGTTTAGTCTTACGGTTCTTCAACCGACCTGTCTGATGTGGTAGAATCTAAAGGAACACTTATTCCAACTAATATTGCTCAGTTGAGTCATCTTGATAGGCAAGCTCAAGCACCACGTCAAGGTAACAGCTACGGTCGGGAACACATATCTAGACTATGATCATGTTTCAGGGCGAGTAAGAGTTTGTTTATCTTACTAGACTGAGAAAGACCACTTAGAGCCCAACTGAACAAAGAAAATGTCAAATATATATTTCAGGAAAATGTACAAAAATATTAATCGATTTTGAAAATGATGTTCAATCTGACTTTCATCTATTTCTTTGTTCAGTTTTTTTCTCTCTCTCTGTTTTCACTTTCTTCTACCTTAAACAAATTGAACTTATTCATTTGTAGATACGTATGCTCTTGTTATCATATGCATAGTTTATTTATTATTGTTTATATCAAATTTGATTTTAGTCCAAACATTGTCATCTTCAGTTGGTTCGCAAAAAATTTATTTGAAGCCTTTACCTAACGAAAATGATATGGTAAATTCTAGACTATTAAATGATGATAAGAAACGATTACCAAAAGTAGGTGATCTTTTTTTTTCATTCTTTACTGATTTGTTTGTTTGTTTTTTTTTTTTTCATTTTTATCTGTATAAGAAAACATGTCTTTATACATACTGAGAAATGATCAAGGATTAGTTGAATGTATTTGTTTATTAAGAATTCTTCCATATTAAATTTTCTTTGATATCATTAGTTCTAACGAAGTCCTGCATACTTTTTAGTTGTGAAAAGGTGATGTGACATTGTTTCCCTTAGATATTGAAAGTGGGTCTTGAAAGTGTATAACCTGATTTTTAGTGTATGTATAAGGTAATTGGTAAATGTAGTAGTATATTGTAGTACCATCTTTTATAAAAACAAGTTCTAATTACAGTATGAAGAACATAATAGAATGAACTTCTTACACAATCATTATGAGTTTGATCTAATATTCAAAGCCTAAACAAGGTGACCAGTCAAGATGATTCAGTTTTTTACTAGTTCTATATAATTTGGGTTATATATTTTTATCATTTATGTCCTTTACTCCTGGTGGAGGAGCATAGACCACCCACTAGCATTCTCCATTAAACTCTGTCCTGAACAATTCTTTCCAGTCGCTATTCATCCTTTTCTTGTCTGCTTCCAATTCCCAACACAATGTGTTCCTTGGTCTACCTCTTTTCATTTTCCCTTCAGGATTCCAAGTTAGCGGTTGCCTCATGATGCAGTTTGATGATTTCCTCAATGTATTGTCCCATTCACTTCTAATGTCTTTTCCTAATTTCCTCTTCTGCTGGAAGCTGGTTTATTTTCGCTCATAATAGGCTGTTGCTGATAGTATCAGATCAACGAATATTGACTACCTTGTGTAGACAATTGTTTATAAATACTTGTACTATTTTAATGATGGTTGTAATAGTTCTCTAAGTTTCAACTCTGTACAATAGAACTGTGTTGACGTTCGTATTGAAGATTCTGACTTTGATGTTTGTTGATAGTTGTTTTGAGTTCCATATGTTCTTCAACTATAAGAATGCCTCCTTTGCTTTTATTTTTATCATAGTAAACGTTTAATCCATCAAATAGTATTTCTAACTTTAATAGTAAGTAATTTTTGATTGAACCCTCGTATATTCACTCATTTGTTAATGTTTTTACATGAATTATGTTTCAAGATAATCAGCAATTAACTCAATAGAATTAAGATCTTTAGTTGACACTTATTATAATGATAAATGATTGATATCTATTACTTGACCCTATAAACTACACAATACAAAATTGAGCATAGAGACGATCAATAAGAATTTATTTGATACCAAGACTAAATCAAAAGGATATCTGAGTATACTGATTAACAGTCAAATTTGTATGCATTAACTGAGTAGTGCTTGACATTAATTAATCAATCAATAATTTATTATATAATCACATATTTACATGATCATAAAACTAGATATCCCTTCTTAAGATGTGACCTACATATTCAAGATGCTTGAAAAATAAACAAATCAATTTTGTATCTCATTTACACTGTAATCAATTAACCCCTTCCTCATTATATCAAATACAAAGATACTAAGTCACTAAAAAAAAGAAAATATTGTCATATTAAATATGATCCATTAGTTCAACACATCAGAACATTATTACATAACATCACAATAAATGTAAAGGTTAGTGTTACTAGTCAATACTGTTATATGATAGGAGAAGAAATATACATTAACACTTGAAACCTATTTCATATACTTTAATTTAGGCAGTGTTGAGTAACAATGATGGATAGTGGCTAGCAGTGGAATCCAGGACGCGCGTTTCGTCCTATTTGGGACTCGTCAGCCGAATGTACCTGCATCTCAGAGTTGATATTCACTCTGGGACTCGAACCCAGTACCATTCGCTTCAAACGCCATCGCGTTATCCACTTAGCTACTGAGTCCTGATAGCCACTTGTTTGTGCAATGGGGTGAATTTAAATTCACTTGGTATTGTTTGGCTTGTATCATCCCATTGAGGTTTAAGACGGCAATTGATCAGTCTGAATAACTTCATTAGGTTTTACTCTTTTGAAATAGTTTAATTCACTAAGATTATGTCATAAATGAAATGAAATCAGATGTTTCATATTTTCTAATAATTTAATCATCAAATGTAAATGAAGAAAATATTGAGGCTTTGTGACCATTCATCTTGGACAACTACAGTGAAATTGAATATTTGAATCTTACTTTACCTAATTTACCATAAAGGGAACTCGAAAGAATCACATCTTTTCAAGTTAGAGATGTATAACTCAAGAGTGAATATATGAACATTGTATTCGGTTATCAGCACAAGGATTATGGTTCAAATTGCTGTGATAATGAGTTGAAGTACATTAGTATTTAACCGGGTTGGTGGAAATGGAGAGTCCACCTAGGGAAGTTGGAATACCCTCATTCCAAACCAATGGTGCACATGGGCTCCAGCACCCTGAAGGAACAAATGGCGTATGAACCAATCACCGGCTACCATGGGATTGCATCTCCTTACGATGCTCCACTGCCTTGTGGATCAGACCTTCAGGTCGAAGGCTCTGGATGTGGCCCCCTAAGAAAACCGCCTGGTTCGGTTTGGGCACCTGGGCAGTTTCAGAGCCCTCATACACATCAGATGAGATTTGTGTGGCGCATATGTATTTGGTGCCTCCTTGTACCAATATCTATGTGTTAAAATAAATAAAATAATAAAGTATTTAAAAGCTGGTTATGGTCTCGGGATTTCGAAATTATTTTGCAGCTAATGAGTTAAAAGCCCTTATAAATCAAATATCACTTCGTAAAAGAGGCATTCAAATCTCTTATAGTTTGGTCATTGTAAGAAGTTTATTGAGTTATCAGTTTTCCGATCCTAGTATCTTATGAATATCACTGCATAGTTAGCTGCATTATTCTACGTGTGAATTTATTCATACTAAAGATCTCTCTCTTTGAGTCTTTTTCACAACCTTGAATACTTTATCACAAAATTTTTAGTATTAAATTCTCTGAAAAGTTACGGAGGTGAACTTACTAGGGAACTACCATTGTCACTATATTGATACTACGATGTAATGCGTAAAAGTTGTTACTCATTTCAGCATTCTTAATTCATCAGGTCGGTTATTATTATTATTATTTACTAAACCACTAATAAAATGAATTGTGTTTGAGTCTACCATAAACAAAGTTAGTTGAAAGAAGAAATGGTTAATTTACACTTTCAGCAAAAACTTTATTAAAAGGAAATTGTTTTTACCAGTATGGGGTTGTGGAGATTGTTAAGTTTTTGATTGAGATCATGAACTGATTGATGTGAGGTCATCATTGAAAACCTGGAAGCACTGGACAGCCGTTTCACCCTATTGTGGGACTCCTAAGCAGTGCGCATTCGAGTGTGGGATCGTGTTATTCTTTAAGACTGGAAAACTGCTTGAATTATTGATTATTTAAATTAGAAATTCGCACACTTTATGATTCATTTCAACTTTGTGAAATACTGATCAATATACATGATAGTTAGTGACTAGCTAATTATGTAATCCAAACCGCACGTTACACTTTACTTGATAGCATCAAAATAAAATTAAAAGCTTATTTCTATTCACATTTCATTTTTATACTGATCATTACAAATACCATAACGTTATCCGTCAAACTATCAAGTTACAATAAGTAAACAGTTTTGGTTGTGGTTTGTTGTTGGTTTTAACCGTATGATACATTGGTGTAATCTCGATGGTGGGTGTTACTTTGACACGGTAGTCGGGTTCGTTTATTATGGTGACGTAGTCAAGCTATGTTGGCTGGAACACTCGTTCTTGTAGGTGCTACTATAACAGTTAGATAAGTTAGAAAATGTTAATACCGAAAGCAACGAACGGTAGGTTCGGGAACGAAGTCGTACTGTCGACTGATGACGATGAGGTGTTCCTTTCAGGAAACTAACATCTACACTTATGTTGCCTTCTCACAGAGGAGGTGGAACAATTGAAAAGGTCAGCCCTAAAAATAGTATGCCATCATACCGCACCAATTTTCGTCACCAGATACGAGGCCTATGAAGTATGGGCTTATCATATCAAAAACTACTTTCGAAAAGGCCATGTGTGACCGGCCTCAGGCAGTTGCCCCTTGGATACTGCGGTTACAGTCACAGGTCATCATGACCACTCCTAACCCAATTTTGTCTCCAGATACTTCTGTGATGTAAGCTACCGAACGAGTGACAACAACTCTAATACCTCAAACATCACTAAAGATCGTTCACATTAATACAATCTAGTTCTTGTAAGTGTAATTATTCCTTCTGTTTGAATTTTATTCGATTGATAGTGCCACGAATTGTTATTTTCTATCTTAAACACTACCTATCATCTATATAATTGATAAGATTTAAGTATTTCTCCACAAGGTTGTTTGCGTTCTTCACCAAATAAAGTAAGTTAAAAAAAAACAACTAAGGTTTGTCTTGTATGCATCGATTTTTCACAATGTTTCTAATCAATTGAATTGTAATGCATGTATTTCGCTTACACTGCTAATGTGTTACTCAGGTAATAAACATTTTTTTAAAAAAGAGACTATTTTAAACAATTGTATTCTTGGTTTTAATATAATTTCAATCTAACTCTTAGTGTAGCGAACAACCACAAGTACAATTTTCCAGTAAATTCTATGTTAATCGTTCCTTTAATCTTAATGATATGGTCCAGTGCTCGACTATGTTAATATATGGGATTCTTTTCAAACACACAAACAACCCGTTATATAAAGGAACTGCAGAGTAAGAAATATTAAAGTAAAACACAGGATTTGTGGTATGAAGTGCGAATCGATTGGTGGTGATGTCGAACATGGATTTTTGTCAACTGAAATGAATAAAACATATGCCTGAACATCGACTAACACAACGCGCAATGCTAGCTAGTATTGGACAGACGGTTGGAAGAAAGTTAGGGGCGGTCAAACCAAAACATGGCTTCAGTTCTTGAAGTCACTAACTTGTGGCCTGAG